AATTTAACTAGCTATTAATTTATATTTTTTATTAGTAGTAATTTAAATCTTTTTAGCTTAATAAGTTATATAAACTTTACCTTAAACACATAATAAACTTTTTTTTATTAAAAAATAAACTATTTATTAAAATCTTTATATAATAATATTATTAAGTTTTCTTTTAATTACTTAAAATAAAGTATTTCTATATTAATATATATAATATATATAGTTATCTCTTCTTTAAATAATACCTATATAATATTAACTAAATTTCCTTAGCGTCTAAGATTCATAGTCTTTTTCTATATATATAATAAGACTTTACTCTTTACACTTATTTCTTTATATATTAACAAGTATCTATTAATATTATTATATTAGCTTTAATAATTATCTTCTAAATCCTCTTAGAAAGCTATATTATATTTAGTAGTTATTTTATATTATATAACATTAAAATTAGTTTATTTAGTACTATAATATACACTTTATACTCTATATATAATATAATAAAGATTCTTATTTAATTTAGCTTAATAAATAATAATAAAAATTTATCTTATATAATAATAAAACAAAAATCATCTTTATCCTATTTATTTAGTTTAGCTTAACAAATAACAATAAGTAAAATTAAAGCTTCTTAATATAAAAGACTTTTTAGTATAACCCCTTAAATATCCCTAAGGATTTCTTACCTTATATAAAGTACAAGACTACCTAGTAGCCTAGCTATAAAGCCTAAGTCTTATTTCTTTATTTTTACTAATCTATAATTATATAAAGCAATTATATAAATTACTAAATAACTACTAATTAATATTAAATAAATTCTCTTTTTCTAAAAGAACTTATTTATATAATTATACTTAAGTTAAAGTTAAAATAAACTAAAAATATATTTTCTATAATTATTTTCTTAACTATAAGACTTAGCTTTTATATATAAAATATATAATCTTATATATCCCTAAGTTAGTTCAATATGAATATACTTTTGATCCCCTTAATAGATAACTAAGAGCTAAATATCCAGTCTGTGCCCTCTGTCATGATGTATGTCCCTGAGTCATGTGTGTCGTACAACCAGCTAGTACTGTTATTTTAACAATATTAATATTATAATACCTAGTCTTTTTTAGGAAATAGTAAAAATAATCTATATAAGGATATTTAAATTATTTATAAAGTCTTTAAAGTTATTCTTCTATAAAGAACATACTAGCCTTTATATAACTAAAGTTAAAGAATAGGTAACCCTATTTCTGTATAACTAGGATAAGTTTTTTATCTTACTATATAATCATATTATCAATATTATTAAAATATATACCTAACTTATCTATATTATATAATAAAAACAAGAACAAAGTAAAAGCATTAAGAATATAATATATAACCTTTCTAAACTAATTCTCTATTTCTATAGTATTAACTAATATAATTAAGTTACTTATCTTAAATTATACGTTTACTAATCCTAGTTCCTAAGATATTACTATATAAAGGTTCTCCTATAAATATATAAGAACTTAAGGTTTCTTTATAGTAAAGAACTTTACTACTCTTATATCTTATAGTTTTTTTTAGTATAATAAGATATAAGGATTATATAACAAGAATTAATAGGCCTTTAACGTCTTTAGTAATAAAAAGATATTCTTTTTTATTATATAATAAAAGAATAAAAAAGACATTAAGAAAACTAATATCTCTTTATTTCCTATAAATTCTCTCTCCTTATTATATAATTTATCTACTAGGTTTTTTTTTTTAAAGTTAAAAAGATATAAAGCAAAATCTCTTTATAGTTCTTATTTAAGTATACTATATACCTAAAAGTATTAGTCTTTTATATAATTATATTCTTTATCTAAATAATTTATAAACTAATAACCCTTTTTCTTATATATAAAATATTTTTTCTTAGATATTATATAATTAAACCTAGGTTATAATAAAAGTTAACCTTTCTAAGGTTATTAAAAAAATTCTTTATTATTTAATAATCTATTATATAATAATTATAAGTAACTCTTATTATTAAAGTATCTTCTATTTATAAAGTTAATATTATATAATATAGACTTTTTATTTAAAGTGACTTATAGTAATACTCTTAGGCTAGAAAAGAATTACTTATATATATAATATACTTTAAGATTACTTAGAGTAGTTTTTAGCTTTAGTACACCTTTATATACTTAGGTAACTTATATATAAAGTATAATTTTCCCTTAAAAACCTAGGCTAAGTACCTACTATATAAGAGGTATCTTATCTAAAAGTATCTCTAATATATCTATTAAATTCTTATCTAAATTATCTTATTTAACTTATATAAAAAATAGACTTATCTAATCTATCTAATAAAAAGTATAGTTAATATTAGTATTAAAGTATATTTCTAACATATTATATATTTTATCTTATCTCCTTATTAGTCTAATATAATAAAGATAAAACTCTTTTATATAATTAGCTAAGATATTAAGAAATACTATATAATATTAGTCTTTAGTAATCCTAAAGCGTTAATAAAAACTAATAAAGACCTTTACCTTATTATATAAAATATTATATAGCTTACCTATATAATTCTTATTTTTTTTTTATTTTTTCTAAAAGATTAAGATTATAGTTAACTTATATAATCTATTCTAAACTATTTATCTTAATAATAAGTTATAGATATTATTTCTTTAATATAAAGGTATTATATAACCTTAGATTTATAAAAAACTCTTAACCTTTTATATAAATCTTGTTCTAAAAAGTATATTTCTTAAAGCTAATTATAACTACTCTTATATAATTAATATTTAAGTTATTTATATATTATATAAGGGCTTAATTAGCTTTATTATTAATTTAGCTATATTCTAAAGTAAAGTTAATTTAAGGTTTTAAATAAGTATTTAAGTTATTATAATTATATAACTTAGTATAAGTACTATATAAGTAAAAAGCTATTCTTTTTACTTATTAAACTTCCTTTTAATCTTCTTAATAAATTTAATTAGCTATTAATTTATATTTCTTATTAATAGTAATTAAAATCCCTTTAGCTTAATAAGTTATATAAACTCTACTTTAAATATATAATAAACCTTTTCTTATTAAAAAATAGACTATTTATTAAAATCTTTATATAATAATATTATTAAGTTTTCCTTTAATTACTTAAAATAAAGTATTTTTATATTAATATATATAATATATATAGTTATTCTTTTTTTAAATAATACTTATATAATATTAACTAGATTTCCTTAGTATTTAGGATTTATAATCTTTTTTTATATATATAATAAGACTTTACTTCTTATATTTATTTCTTTATATATTAATAAATATCTATTAATATTATTATATTAGCTTTAATAATTATCTTTTAAATCCTCTTAAAAAGCTATATTATATTTAGTAGTTATTTTATATTATATAATATTAAAATTAGTTTATTTAGTACTATAATATATATTTTATATTTTATATATAATATAATAAAGATTCTTATTTAGTTTAGCTTAATAAATAATAATAAGAATTTATTTTATATAATAATAAAATAAAAGTCATTTTTATCTTATTTACTTAATTTAACTTAATAAATAATAATAAGTAAAATTAAGGTTTCTTAGTATAAAAGACTTTCTAATATAACCCCTTAAATATCCTTAAGGATTTCTTACTTTATATAAAATATAAGATTACCTAATAGCCTAACTATAAAGCCTAAGTTTTATCTCTTTACTCTTACTAATCTATAATTATATAAAACAATTATATAAATTACTAAATAACTATTAATTAGTATTAAATAAATTCTTTTTTTTTAAGAGAACTTATTTATATAATTATACTTAAATTAAAATTAAAATAAACTAAAAATATATTTTTCTATAATTATCTTTTTAACTATAAGACTTAGCTTTTATATATAAGATATATAATTTTATTTATCCCTAAGTTAGTTCAGCATAAATATACTTTTGATCCCCTTAATGGATAACCAAAAGCCGAATATCTAGTCTGTGCCCTCTGCCATGATGTGTGTCCCTGAGTCGTGCGTGTTATACAACCAGCTGGTGCTGTTATTCCAACACTCATAGATATTTCAGGACTATTTGATCCGGCTGATGGCCCTTCAGCGAAGCCGATGTTACCACACTACTCTGTGTCGCTTCGGTCACGGAACGCAACTGGCCGGCGACTTCTGCCGGTGCACCGGCTATTTCAATCTCCTAAATTGCCAAGTCTAATCACATTGGTATTTCGATACTGCCTAATGGCGTTCTTACCGGCCTCGTGAGTCCGAGTACCAAGCTCATAGATTACTTTGGGGGGTTACAGATGTCAGCATTTGAATCAAAAAATGTGCCTAGCCGGCGAGATCGGGGTGACCATCCGTAGCAGCCACACTCTGTCAGATGAAGGACCGAAATCTCTTCTTGATGATGTTCTAGATTTTGAAAACTCTACTGCCAGGAACGGTATTTCGCCTTCATTGCAAATTTGAACAATCGCAGCTGCATGCCTGCGGGGAATTTTAGTGTTCTGTTATGATCTATTGGGCCATTGATGAGGTATAAATAAGGGCATGGCTGTGTTGTGACCTCTTACCTTGTTCTCTCTCTAGATCGTACCCCCATATTAACTCAGGGCTACTCATCATACTTCTGACCCCCTCGTCCACACCAATTCTGTCCTGTGAACATGAAGTCAATTATAATCACCGTCTTGGGGGCCCTCGCTGCTCAAGAAGTTGCTGCTCATGCAACATTCCAGCAACTTTGGGTTGACGGAGTCGATATGATAAGTACCCTTCTCCTTTCTTGCACGTATTTTTCGTTGTGCTGACTGCCCCGTACGGTTCACAGTGTGCTAGATTACCCCAAAGCAACTCTCCTGTCACCAACGTCGCCGGCAGCGAAGTCCGATGTAATGTTGGTGGAACTACCGCTGCGAAAGGGAAGTGCCCGGTCAAGGCTGGTGGCACGGTCACCATCGAGATGCACCAGGTGCGTAAACATCACCAAACACTCGTATGTAAGAGCAAGGTTAACAGGGAGCTTGGATAGCAAAATGGTGATCGAAGCTGCAAAAACGAAGCCATTGGCGGCGCACACTACGGCCCTGTCATAGTGTACCTTAGCAAAGTCGACAACGCCGCCTCGGCCGATGGCTCTTCGCCATGGTTCAAGATTTTCCAGGACGGCTGGTCCGCGAAAGCAGGTGCCGGTTCAGGTGACGACGACAACTGGGGCGTCAAAGACCTCAATACCTGCTGCGGCAAGATGAACATCCCCATTAGTAAGGACATTGCCGACGGAGACTACCTCCTACGTGCCGAAGTGATTGCGTTGCACGCGGCTAGTCCTTCTGGTGGGGCGCAACTGTACATGACTTGCTACCAGATCTCAGTCACGGGAGGTACGGGCACGGCAAAGCCTGCTACCTTCAGTTTTCCTGGCGCTTATAAGGCTAGCGACCCGGGCATTGGCGTCAACATTCATGCAAAGCTCTCATCCTATGTGGTTCCGGGTGGCGCCGTTGCCTCAATCGGTACCACCAAGACAGCCGGGTCAGGATGTAGTGGATGCGAGTCGACGTGCGATGCTACTAAGGGACCTGTTGGTACAGCTCTTCCTGTCACGCCTGTCGGAGGTGGAGGCGAAGGCACCTCGCCGGGAACTGGGAATCCGCCGTCGTGTACTGTGCAGAAGTACGGCCAGTGTGGCGGTCAGGGATGGACAGGATGCACGACTTGCGCGGTAAGTTTCCAATTCATTCCTTGAAGCAATTCATCAGGTTTTCTGACTAATATTTTCTCTCACAGTCTGGTTCAACTTGCCAGGGTGTTTCAGTGCCGTACTACTACCAGTGTGCCTGAGAAACTTTGATGGTAATAGTTTGATGGGTTTGATAGCGAAACTAAAATTGCATAAATCTCATGTTCAGACTTGATCTGGCATCATTAATTATGGGCCTTCTACAACAGAAACCCTATTGTGAAGCTTCAATTCCCTGCTGAACAGTCATGTTCTTTCTGCCCGAGTGTTATATGTAGTAGCCGAGTGATAATTATTCCACGTCAAGAACTTTCAACTCTTGTCTAGAACTTCGTGGACAGTCTTCGCCAGCTGGCCCCAGCTGGCAGCAACACTGTACCCGTTCGACTCACAAGGCCTTTCTTTTCCCAACTAGAACATCCGACCTTCCTCACCTTGCACTGCTGTCTTGCACCCGGAATCCAGCCGCCGCCTATCAAGTTTGGTTACCTCAAGAACCAACAGATCTAAGTTACAATTGGATTGTGCAGAAACATTATTCACAAGAGCATGTGCTGTCTTCAGCTTATCATTTGACAACTTCGCGCCACCTCGAACAGCCACAGCGCGTTGACAACGCGTCAATGACCTCCATCATGTCCGGCCAACAGCGTCGATACATGAGCAAGCGGCAGCGGCCTTGTGACTTCTGTCGTTCGCGAAAGACCGCATGTCGAATTAATCAAGCACCACCTTGTCGCCTCTGTGTTCTGCATGGCCGTGAATGCACCTTCATTGAAGGCGCCGCACCCAGGAAACGGCCTTTGCCATTAGATGAGGTCCAAGGACAAACTGCATCTCCCTCGGCCTCACAGCCGCCCATGCCAATGACAACGGCGCACAGCCCGACGCATCTAATACCAAATGTCCCGGAAAACCAACCCCCCACGACGTTGACATGGCTTTTGTCGACAGTCTCAATTTCGAGACCACGCAGTCCGAGTTTGAGGCCATGTTTCGAAGCCCGCGCGCTCCTAGCCCGCCTTCCACTGTGTGGACGAGCATTACGCCCCGACAGCCAGAACCAGGGGATGAAATCGGCTATCCTCCTGGTGCCAACCCGCAGTTGTTAGGACTCAGCGGTGACATGGACCCCCTCCTACTACGACATTATCGCATAGATGAAAATGGCATGTTTGGTTTTAAGGAACTTGCCATTCATTCAGTGCAGGACTCTCCGATTCCCTGCCAGTTTCTCGTTTCCCAGCAGTCCATCTTTTCCCGTCGAAGAGACGAATGCGGTCTGGAACGGCCAAACGACGAATTCCTCTCTAGGCAGCTGCTGACCGTGATTCCCACTGCGGTTGGTGCGCGTCTCATCAAACTTTTTAGGGACTTCATTCAGCCCCAATTCCCTGTTTTCTCAACAACGCTGTTCCCGGATTCCACGTCAACACCATCATACCTCCTTGCTGCTATATATGCCGCTTCATTTCCATTTGTAGTGTATGACGACAAACTCAGCGTGGACATTGCATATGACAAGCCTCCGTACCCGGCGTTGTCGCAGATCATTAACCAGGCTCTTTCGTACGAGGTCCACTCTCCAAGCATCGCTGTTGTCCAAACGTTGATTCTTCTCGTCTTACGACCTTCTGCGGACCCTTTAGTAGCTGACACAGCTCATCGACGGGATGTGCTGGGAAGACTTGTCTCTTGTGCCACAACTCTCGGCCTTCACCTCAAGCCTTCTGAATGGTCGATGACTGAGCGACAGAAAGCTCATCGTCGAAGACTCGCGTTTATCATATTTGCGATTGATATATGGATAGCTTCCGCCCACGGAACTCCACCGTTGACCAATCGGGACAACTGGCTGGTCACAAGTTTGGAACGTGGAGATTTTGTTGATTCGGGTCTCGGCTCCAATGATGAGTCGCGACTTATTGACTTTGCAAACATCACAGAGGTTCTAAGTTCTGCTCTTGGAAGTCTTTAGTGAGTATATTTATGTAGTTTCAATCCTGTGCTGCGGTACTGACTTCTTAGTTCTGTTCGAGCCGTCTATGAGCTGTCCAAGAACTATTATACAATTTCAGCAAAGAGTCAGCCACTGCTTCGGGCTCTAGTCTCGATGTCAGAAACAAGCGATGTCGATTCAAATTTGCGTAAGCTTACGCTACATTACACTCAGTTGGTCATTCTTCGAGCAGAGCTACGGCCTTTTTTGGCACCGCTTTCGCCACATAGCCCGGATAAACAAACTTTCGAGCAAGCGGCAAGAAAGAATACGAGGGACTGTACTCAGGCTCTTGCAAATGTTATTCGGAACCTGAATCCTGACAAAGATGGTATATTCTGGCCATCTTGGACTCAGCTAGTCTTCTCATCGATTTGCTTCACGTTGATGACGATGACCATTTCATCTTCAGGCTTCGAAGAAGCTTCTAACTGGATTGCCGATTTACAGTCGACTCGCAAAAGTCTTCGGTTGAAAGTCGCTTCGTTCTCATTTCTTCGTCTTGGCCTTCTCAGGATTGACGCTTTATTCTGGCGTGGTATTACAAACGTTCTTCGCCTTGAACCGCATGTTGAAGAAGCATTTAGAGCTGCAGAATTATTATAAGATTGGGTCCTGAGGTCTGTTTCAACCAGTTTGACGTACGCAAAATCAGAGTTTTGAGCGACAATCGTCTTCCTTCAAGACTGTCAAAACCTCCTTGACCGTTTCAACAGCCTCTAAAGCCATACCAAAGCCAGCCTGGAAACCGGTACCACTCGCACCATAGTCGTGCACAAGAATCCGCTTCTCTCCGTTCACAGATATTCCAGTTCGTTCGACTCTTGCGCCGCCTTCGCGAGAAGGTCTCAGACCGGAAAAGCTTGCAAGAACGTCCGGCTTTCGTTGGCTAAGTTCAATACTAAGGTCTGCCGTGCGTTGCAGAATGGACGCAGTCTCGTGCGCAAAAGTATCGCTCGTGCTTTTAGTCGGTCAGTCAAGAAAAAATGTCCAGATAGGTACTGTCTTTTGCCAAAGGTGGGAGGCCTACATAATGCCCTTTTGCATGTACCCTCCAAGGACCACGTTACCATTCGACCATGGTCTTGGAATGATGTATGTCTCATAGTCTCTACCATGTCGCATGATGTTGGTTTGCACTTGAGGTGCCTTTGCCAGCACAATCTGGCCTCTTGTCGGGTAGCATTTGGGGTCTTCGACACCAGATAGGAACTTCGATGCATTTCCAGTGCAGTTGAACACGATCTTAGTGCTCGCGCTGAGGTATGCGGACTGGATACTTGGAAGCTTTTTCTTGATAAATCGGACGCCATATTCGTCTTTCAACAAGCGGAAGAGGTATTCAATATGTTTGGGTGCGTTGATTGTGACGGTTGTGAACGATGTACCAAATTGGACTCCATTTGGGAGTTCGTTGAGAGGAATTACTTTGAACTACAAAGAAGTAAGTACGTTGCTCAAACATGTTGTAGACGGGAGCAAATGCTCACATCTTCCAGATACTCAGACATTGACTTGATCTTGTCCTCAGAGACAGGCTCGTCCCAGTACTCAATGCTCGGCGTTTTTTGAACATAAGACTCTTTACCAACGGTTGTGGCCAACTGAGTCAAATGGCTGTATCCAAGGCGATCCCATGTCAAAGCGTTCTTGTCGCTCCCAGATATAGCGGAAAAGTTGGCACCAGCCCTTGATCAATTGTCAATATTGAGATACTGCAAGTCGAATGCTTGGATATGCACTATACATACCATGGTGAGGTGTAATTCACCGATGTATCACCGGGAAAATGTTCGGCTACAACGGTGGTCCGTCGCCCCAGTCCTCGTCGGGCAAGAACAAGAGCAATGTCGAGGCCAATGACACCAGCACTATGTATCTGTCAGCACGATACTTTCCAACTGTAATGCATTTTTGACTCACCCGACTACGACGATAGGATCATTCAGTCGTAGCGCTGCTACTTCCATTAATTCAGTCATAGTGTCGCTCAATGCTTAATTGTATCTATACGTCCAAACAATGCCAGAATACGAGACGCAGAATAACACAGGCTTGAGAAATTCAATGCCTTTTTTAAACGTTGACTCAAGATCTGTTAGAATGATAATGTGGTGTGGACAACAATCAATTACTGCGACAATCACGTCGGCTCATCTTGTCATAGTCTGCTGGCCTACGGAGAAACTACCGATACCGGCGTCTAAATCGATTGGCGGCGTTCACGATTGAGACCCGCCTTCAAAGTCGACGATGTCCCTGGAACGCCCGCAATCTCAACCAAGCCAGATTGCCTTAGTTAACTACGCGCTTAATCAAGTCATCTACACATGTTCTGACAACCTAGTTTTACTTGTTGATAAAAATTTCCTCTCCCGGTCGGATTGAAAGTTTACTTTTTCGGCAGTGTTAACATAGGGAAGGAACAGGTTTTACACGTTTGTCAGGTTTACTTAGTTATTGGATTTGCGTTTCTCCCAGAAATATTGGTCAAGTTTCCATGCTCGTGTTTCTTGAGAAACGTGATATCGCCATTTTGTAGCTAGAGTCGATTACCTTCCAAGCTCTAACGTTCAAATAGTAGCATAAGGAGCACAGCCTCTTATAGTCTTCTCTAATAAACTTAGTATGTTCCCAAGTCGCAGATGGTCAGACAATGTCGTCCCGTGGTAGAGGTGACAGTGCGGTGCTAGACAGGCATCAGCCTTGGTATGATCCTATTCACTGTCACTACCGACCAAGTTTGTGAGAGTGATCTAATCATTCCAGGTTCACAGGTTGACTAAGAAAATGCCATGAGGAAGGGGCTTTCCAGGATTTGCTTCTTAGCGAGGCACCACTCAGCAACATAGGAACAACTCTGAGCTGCTTCCTTGCGCGCGCAGCCAACGTGGCCATAGGCACTTTCCACGTGCTGATTTCTGTAATTTTTCTGTCCGAACTCACAGCAACAGAGTTGTTCTTATTCTCCGTAATGAGTGAATCTAAGCAGCTCGGAAGTGTCCTTGATGAACTCAAAGCTCTTGGAGAGGCCTCTTTGAGGGTGGTTGTAATGTGCAAACGCATGAGGAACCCCCGCATATCTTTTCACCGAGACCTTGTTCCCTGCATCTTGAAGAAGTTTTCCGTAGTATTCCCCTTCATCCCTCTCCAGATCAAACTCGGCCGTGATTATGTGAGCTGGTGGCAAGCTCTTGAAATTCGGTGCTAGTACCGGTGTGAGTTTCCAATCATCGAGACAACTTGCTTGTTCATCTGTGAACCTCCTTTTAGCTCATCTCGTGCGAAAGAAGTACAATTTTCTTACCATCATCGTCCCCTAACCAATATTTCAGAAACCATTGCTCACGTCCTAGGGGTCCCCAGGGAAGGGCGTGATATAAACGGGCACTCTCATATGGACAGTTTGCCTCGTTAAGCTCCTTGATCTTTCGATGGCAATACCTCATGTCGGTAGCTGGCACGATCATCAAATGCAACTTTATCGGGATATTTTCGTCTCTGGCAAAGTGGGCTAGTACAGCTGACATTTGTCCACCGGCTGAAAGACCCCCGAATGAAACGCTCGTTGGTTCTATGTTCAAGGCTGTTGCGTTCTTGATGGTCTGGTAACAAATGTTAAACAAACATCTTTGCAGGAATCGTAGTATCCTAATGACTTACCCATCTAACGGCGTCCCAACAGTCGTATATGGCTGTCGGGAATTTGTGTTCTGGTCCCATGCGATAGTCCACGTCAATAACCTTGATGTTTGAATTGTTGCAAATGTGACGACACCAAGCGGCTTCACTATTGAGTCCGCCCAGAACCCACCCGCCTTCACATTATATCTTAGCAAGAAAACATGGTGGCTCAATTGTCACAACTCACCGCCATGAAAATTGACGTGTACAGGAAAAGGCCCCGGTCCTTCAGGCGAATAGATTCGCACGGTGACCTCCCCAAATGGGCGCGTGACAGGGACTTTGCGATCCTCCACATGGGATACTTCCGGACCTTAATGACGCTTCTTGTTAGCGCTGCTTCCGAGACTCAATCATTGCCCAGAAAATCCTTACCTGTGCAAGTTGGATATGTGAAACTGTATTGTCCCGGAGATTCTCGGTATTCTTCAATTGTCACTTCATCGGCCCTGACCATCGCCCCGCCGTGTTCGTTCCAAAGAGAAACCCATTGGGAGTCTATGCCAGGATAATCGCCAGCAGAAAACGTAAGCCGGCCACTGTTTAGTTTTGGGACTGGTTGGTCATCCATTTTTCTTGGGAATGTCATTTTCGTAACCGCAGACAATAATTAAACCAAGATCGAAATGCTCCCGTTGGATAGGCCTTGTTTAGAGTCGGATGGCTTGAGTATGAGAAGTGAAGACTTTGAGTCTAGATGAAGACTACTGCAACAAACGCAGATTCCAACTCATGGCTATGTATCGCCGAACCGGACCTGAGGACTCTGTCTGTTGCTAATGCCCTCTTCTATTGGTGGCGTCGAGATGACCGATCTTGGTGGGTACAACGGCTGATGGACCCGGTCTGATGACGGTTTTCAATCTGATTGGCGGCGTTCTTCAAGACTATCTTTGGTGATAGGCCAGAAAACGCCGCCAATCAATCTCCTCAGAAACCCCTTAGTGTTATCTCCCGTATCTGTTCATGCAGCCTGGGGAGACCCCACTTCACCCACCTCACTGGATCGAGTCAGGGGACCAGTGAACAAAGATTTGGGGTAGTATTTACTCGAGTGTGCAGTCAACTATATGATTACATGTCAAGCCACGCCACTCGAGACACATCGTGCGATGTTCGCAGATACATGTTTTGGAAACCCCATTTGTTGTGTAGTGAAGTAGCTATGGAAGACACTAAGTACAACACCACGGGCCCAGAGGAAGCACAAGTACAACCAGAAGCGCCTGCCAAACCACCTACCTCACAATGGGAGGGTCTCCGGAGGGTACCGGACAAACTTCCAACCGTTGCGCTGCTGATTTTAGTTGTAGAGGTAAGTTGGCTCTTCAATGCAACGCTTGTAAACTGTTACTGAAATTTCCAGCTTGGTGAGCGATTCACATACTTTGGTCTCAGCGGACCAATTCAGAACTACATCAAGTGAGTGCATAGGAGTATTTATGCTCCTTGGTTCTTTTGAGACGATCGACTAATTGTGTGATAGCAATCCATATGATCCCACCTCTGATCTTCCTGGGGCACTTGGTCGAGGTCAAGCCGTTGCGACAGCTTTGGGCAACTTCTTCAAGTTTTGGGCCTATGCATCTACCGTTGTTGGAGCTGTTGTGGCAGGTAAGCAGCGACTTCTAGCTTATGGAGGGAATTTCATCTCGTAGCACGTGCTGACCTCCTTTTAATCCAGATCAGTATCTAGGAAAGTTCAAGGCGATCCTTGCAGCTTGCGCTGTCTACATTGTTGGTCTAATCATACTTGTCGCGACTTCGACGCCGGCTTCGATCAACAATGGAGCGGGTTTTGGTGGATTAATCGCCGCAATGGTCACAATTGGGCTAGGTACCGGTGGTATCAAGGCCAACGTGACGCCTCTGTGCGCTGAGCAGTATCGAAACTCTCACCCTGTTGTCCGAACCTTGAAGTCTGGAGAAGATGTCCTGGTAGATCCCGAACTTACGGTTCAGAGGTTGTTCATGTGGTAAGTCAACCTCTAAAATAGTCATTAACCAGACAAAACTGATAAGCTCTTCCAGGTTCTATTGGGTTGTCAACATTGGCGCGCTGTCGCCACTGATTACTGTCAATGTTGAAGCACATCATTCCTTCTGGCTGGCTTATCTAATTCCACTCATGTGAGCAAAATCCCGAAAAGTATGGGTTGGGTGTTCTAATAAGGAGCAGTGCAATTATCATATCGGCCGGCGTATTTATTTCAGGGCAGAAAAAATATGTCAAAGTTCCACCCGAAGGCTCCGCAATCATCGACGCCCTACGTGTAACCCGCATCGCTATTAAGGAGAAGGGTTTCGAGAATGCGACTCCTTCGGCGCTGAGAGAGTCTGGACATCATGCCAACTATGCTATTGCGAGCGAAGCTCGTTACACAGATGGATATGTCATGGATGTGATGCGGGGGCTAAAGAGTTGCAAGGTACGTAAACAAACTCTCGATCTTCGTGTATGCAAGCATAGTTCTCACAGTTAGTAATGTAGATGTTCCTCTTCTTTCCACTTTACTTTATTTGCTGGATCCAAATCTGGAACAATCTTATTTCTCAAGCGGGCGAGATGGCTTTGCATGGCACACCGAACGACTTGCTACAGAATCTTGACCCTATTGCCTTGTGCATATTTATTCCTTTTCTCGACAGTGAGTCATTCCCATACTGAAGGCTTCAAAGTCATCCTCCTAACGTTCGTGCTTCATAGTGGTGGTCTATCCTCTTTTCCGAAAGTATCGCATTGATTTCGACCCGGTGACTCGAATCTTTGTGGGATTCCTTTTCGCATCCATCTCCATGGTCTATGCCAGCGTACTGCAGCATTACATTTATAACTCCCCTCCGAATAGCATTCACGTTTGGATTCAGGCACCCGCTTATATCCTCGTGGCGTTTTCGGAGGCGTTCATCATCGTTACCGGACTGGAGCTAGCCTTCACCCAGGCACCAAAGAAGTAAGCGCCTCTTACAGCCGGAGCACTCGCTGGGACTGTTGACTGACAAGTGTTATTCTTTACAGCCTTCGATCAGTTGTATCTGCCCTATTCTGGTTGACTATTGGTGTCGCCGCCGCTATTTGCATTGCGCTTGCACCTGTCTCCCAAGACCCTTACCTGGTATGGATGTATGGCTCTTTGGGAATTGTTGGATTTGTGTCCGGCTGCGCCTTTTATGCTTGCTTCTACCCGGGACGTAATAAAAAGAGCGCCGAGGAGGAAGTGATTCTTGAGGGTACAGTGCCATAGTGTATACAAGGTTTACAAGAGGCGAGAGGCAACGTTGAGCTTTACGATGATTCGGTGTGGTATTTATTGAACGAAATGAAAATACAGTTGCCAACCCTGACACCTTAGTAATGCAATGAGTGACTACAGTAAGTATATTATCAGACGCTACGTCTTTTGTCATCCAAAGTTCGGGATGCGGACGCCGCCAGATGTCTCTGATCTCATTTCGTTATTACTGCTTGGACTCCTGAACAATGGCAGTGGAATATATTGGAAAGTTTCGGGGGTCACACTGGCCCTATTTGTCGGCGGGTGCCATGAATGGAGTGTTGGTGAGAAGACGCCGCTGCTGGCAGTGCTGGCAGAGCTGTTATTGGTGGTTTCGGAAGTCGAACTCTCGGTGGTGCTGGCGAAGCTCTTCCTGTGGTTCATCTCTGGGTCGGGCTCCACTTGCTGATGGCCACGAATCCAATTTAGCCAGTCCAAAATTGGAGTGTGTAGACCGTCTGGCATTGTGCTCTCGGGGCTGTGGGTAGAAAGAAAGTGGGATCTCGGCGAGACAGAGCGTTGATTCATGGTACTTCTAGCAATGATGTCTCTCCGACCATGCCATAGCATCGATGACATTGTACTGCGAGATGCTCGTGATTGATGACGCGAAGGGGTCTTCGTTGATCGAAGACCACTTAACACGCTCGGTGTGGAAGCTCCACTACGAGAGGACCGAGTCGGCCACCTAAAGATCCGAATCGGAGATGGCTGCGGAATCGGCGGTGGCGGAGGAAACCCAAAGGTTCCCGTATCGGCGAGAGACTGGACATACTGTTGCGCCTGGGCATATGAAAAAGGCTGTGCCGCGTATGGGTTGGCCGGAGTACTTTCTCCCTCCTCATCATGTGGGTGTGTTTGTGCAAGTGGTGGCTGTCCAGGCTGAGGATGTTGAATGATAAGCTCATCTGATGTGTTGATGGCACGATTCTCAGCCATCGAAGGAAAGACTTGGTCGACATGGTCTCGGAAGCGGTGGCCAGGGCCATACTCGTTCATGGGGCTTCCCGGTGGGACGGCTTCGTGAGCATGGAGAGCTGCTCGTTTCTTCCGGCGACAGCACCAAAAAATAAGAAGTGACAATCCAAGAAGTACCACAATACCTACTACAAAGGTTGTCAGCATTGCCCATCCTGGCTACTCAATGCGGAGATTGAAGGATCGAACTCACACACGACACCAGTGGCGATTAAAGGCGTTTGATTACTTGAGTTAGATATGTTTCCAGAGTTTGGTGCCTGCGGTGTTGGTGAAGAACTAGTTGCTCCAGGTTTGGTGGGTGTCGCTCCTCCGCCATTCACTGCTCCAGTTCCTATTGAGTTCGCTGGTTGTGAGAGTACTGGTGACGATGCAGCATTCTCGGCTGCCGGAAGCGCAGTCTCGGCAGCTGCAGGGGCTGACGTGGTGAGAACGGGAGCTGGACTGGAACCAGTGGTTGCTACATTGGTAACCGCAGCATTGGTTGATGTCGGTTGCTGAGCCGGCTGTTGATTTGTTGCCGGTGCTTGAGCGGCTGGAGTTGGAGTTTGCTGTTGCTGATCTTGCTTTGGTGATGAGGCCGGGGTCGCAGCGGGCTGCTGTACAGCCGGTGCTTGAGTCGTCGCAACTGGAGCAGCGGCAGCTTGCGTTGTTGCAGCCGGTGCAGCAGCCGCTTGCGTCGTGGCTGCTGCCTGTGTATTCTCTGCCTGAACGTTTTCCTGAGTTGTCGTCGCCGGCGATGACAACACCTGACTGATGATGTTGCCAGGTGTATTGAGAATGTCCCCAAGAAGACCCCGCTTGAAAAGCTTCTCCGTGATCTCATACCATCTCCCATGGTTCTCCTGATTAGCCATGATTCATTGTTATCCAGTTCCAGCTGTATGAGATGCGTGTTTGATAAAGTTACTGTTGGTCGGTTATATGTCCAAGCGATTGGTAAAAAACGCTCGCTTGTAAGCTCAAGTATTCGCGTCATGCAACATTTACAAAGTTAGAATGAGAAAACAGGCACTCAAACGAAGGAATCCTGACTTGGAACGAATGACTGCAGGGAAAGGGAGAACACAACAATCAGGATGGAAATCTCTCAGCTCGCAGAGTTGCGAAAGTAAGGGTATTAGAGACAGCCACCACTCGTCCAATTGGGAGAGTCGAGGTCAATGCGGATATTAGGATGCACTAGTTGTGATGAGAAAGTCCGAGCCATGTGGTTAACCAACCTTCCCTAAACCCGAAGAGGCACAGTATCTGCTGTTCCACCGTCCAAGCTACGGACTCTTGTCTCATTCCTCAAATGGCCCCCAGCTCTCTGCTGCGACTGGCGGGTAGGCGGCCTCAGCTAGTGCAATCGGTTACGAGGCATGGCGTCTCCTATGATACAGCTAGTGGTTACATCGGAGGAGCGATGTTGTTGTTTGCTGACAGAGGGGAACGCTAACAGACGCCATCGGCCCATGCGGTGCGGTGCCTGATCCGTTCTGGAATCGATAAACGTCCTGATTTGAGAAGCCTGGCGAATCTCCACCAACACCAGACGTTTTGAGTCGAAGACAGTTGAAAGGGGGAAATGATGTCTTGGAATCATGACAAAATCACGTGAGCTGGCCGGAAATGGCATTGCGAGTCGTCGTTGAAGGGGACTCGACATGGTTATGTATGTCTCATTCTTCGATCAGGAACTGTCCAAAGAATGATCCCCTATCAGAAAATGCTGATCTTGCATTTGCATGTGCATGCATCTTCTGGAGGCCATTGGGCGCACGGATTCAGTAACGGATATTCATTCGATCAGTGTCTCAACATCATCCCGTCTACCAGCCCTGGTAGTGACCACTCTAGGATCTTAGCTTCCTCTACTTTACCAGCCTTAGGGTTGGTTCGTGATCCAGATTAGTTGTCACCGTGACAGCAACTTCTTCACTGGCCAGACAGTGCACTTGACAGACTGTCATGAGCGGTAGGCGTGGCGTGCGGTGGGTATAACATGTGGATCACATCCTGACACTAAACGATTCACGATTCGACGCCGTGGTGAACCTCACAAGCTTTCTCTTGTGAAAAATCTTCGAGCTCAATGTCTCAATTGGTTAGAATCCGAGTCCGATGCGAGATGAGCACGTCAAGCCCTGCTCGTGTCCGCACGAAAAATGGAGACAAGCCAACATTACTGCCCTTTTAGTCCCAAAACTCGTAGCCGGCCCTCACGCAACCTTCAAGCTTCTAATACGGCAAGCTTTTCTCCAACAAGATCTGATATCTAGTGTGAGGATTTTGGTTCCCTGTTCAAAACACAAAAGTCTTTCTCTGCGGCTTCTCGCTCGCTCTAATCTCTACAAGGTACTGGATGTTATTCTTGTCATTTCTCCCAACAGCTAAACCTGAATCTTTGCTTTATGATTACGCTAAAGGTATTGAGAAATTTCTCTAAAATTCCCTACAGCTTCAAACTTTACAGGATATTGCTGGTCACAGCACAGACGAAATACCGTTTACCCTTTTCTGGAAATCTACGTGGATGGCCTCTGGAAAGGCTACTTGCACGATATGTAGGAATAGAACTCTTGGTCATGGCCCTCGCTTTCAGGCATATATGTCCTGCCTGATACTGCGCCGTTGGTATTGTGTAATTGGTAAAAACAGTCTCGGCGGAGGTAGATTTTCCAGAAATCATTCTCGCTCAACGAGGTGAACGATGAGGGGCAGGTTACACGACAGTACGGTCGCCAGTCAGCACCGTGTCTTGACCAATAAAAGTTTCTGTATTACTGCGAGTCCGCGCATCCCTACCTAAATAACAACGCGCTGATTCAGCGCATTGCAGGTTGAGCATACCTTATACCTATGTTCGATGGTATATAAAGTGGTGTATTCTTACCTAATTCTGAAGTCTAACTCATCTCCAACTCTCGATATGGCCTTGTTGACATTAGTCCTAGGGTCTGCGATTCTATCGCTTATATACCTTTCTATTCGTTTTCTCCTTTATCCCTCAAATTCCAACATTAACTTCCCACCAGGGCCGCCGACCGTACCATTTCTTGGAAATCTCCATCAGATCCCGTTGACTAAGCCCTTCCTCCAGTTCGCAGACTGGAGCCGAACCTATGGGTCCCACGGTCTCATTGGCCTGCAACTCGGTCCAAGAAATAAGGCTGTCGTCATTAACTCTTGGAAGTCTGCCCGTGATCTCTTGGACCAACGCGGCGCAATCTACTCCTCCCGGCCATACGTACCCATCGTTGAGTATGTGGTACCACCACCCGGCGACATCCATCTTGTCTTTATGCCGTATGGGCCTAAGTGGCGCAAGGCAAGGAAGACCATCACAGACTTCCTGAAAGATGAGGAGGTTGACAAATTAATGGTTCTGCAAGACGCCGAGTCGTCCCAAATGATGTACGAGCTGTTTTCTGACCCTGGCAACTATCACGATTACATTTTGAGATACTTTGGTGCTATCATAATGTTGAGTGTCTTTGGCACCAGGGGTAAAGACTTTGACGATAAAGGCAAAATCAAACAGTTTTTTGATTGCCAAGCGGAGTGGGCAGCCATGCTAGACCAGGGGGCTGTTCCGCCTTTCGATGTCTTTCCGTTCTTGCAGTACGTGCCAGACGCCATGACACCGTGGCGCGGTTGGAAGCAGAGGGCTTCTGCGTTGAAAAAGAAGCAGAATGGGTTGTACCACGATCTGTTTGATGAAGCTAAGACTCGCATTGAGCAGGGGAAGGGTGAGGACAGCTTCGTGGCCAGCCTTATCCGGAACAACATGAAGGAAGGATACAGCGATGTCGAGCTGGAGTACATCGCTGGCTTTCTTATGGAAGGTGGCTCTGATACTACTGCCGGTGCCTTTGAAACCTTCGTGCTCGCTATGGCTGCGTATCCAGACATACAGAAGGAAGCTCAGGCGGAAATCGATTCTGTATTCGGCGAAGACGGTGTCTGTTCCAAGAAGCTCAAAGAAGCAAATTTGCCTTACCTTAAGGCTTGCTTCCTGGAGGTAAGTAGCCCGTTGCTCGGGGTCCTAGCTTACCGTTCCACCAATCCTAACTCATGTTACAGACTTTGAGGTGGCGTCCTGGCTTCCCATTGGCTATTCCTCATGCCACAACTCAAGATGATGTGTACCAAGGTAACCATATCCCGGCCCATACGACAATCCTTATGAACATCTGGGCCATTAGTCATGATCCAGACGAATACGAAGATCCGGATTCCTTCAAACCTGAACGATTTGTCAATAGTACATTTGGCGTCAATGGAAGTGACGAGAGATTCAAAGACGGGATCTCGGATCAATCGCGAAGGCTCACTTACGGTTTTGGGGCTGGAAGAAGAGTGTGTGCTGGACAGCGGATGGCCGAGAACAGCATGTTAATGACCATGTCGAAGCTTCTCTGGTGCTTTGACATCGTGCCAGGAGAACGCATGCCGGATACCAATGTGCAGACGGCTTTCAAGGATGCCATTCTTACTGGCCCAAAGCTTTTCGACGTGAGCTTTGAGTTGCGAAGTGAAGAACGACGAGACGTTTTGGTAGCTGAATGGAACAAGGCAGATGCATGGCTCCGAAGGTTCGAGTAGCGTATTTAAGTACCACCTATCGGTTTTATTCCAAGGTTATTTGGTTGTAATGGAGAGTAAATCTACGACAACAAAGTGAATTTGCTGTTTATCTACAACGATGAAGCCTTGCTTAATGGATCACTGTGCAAGAATGTTCTGTCAAATGTAAGTAAGTATACTGCCAGGAGATCAAACTCTGAGTTCCTGTGAGAATTTGTGATGAAAAACATGTGAGCGAGTGCTTACCCCAGTAGTTTTGTACGAAAACTAATACCTGAGTCCATTCACGCAAGGGCTTAAATGGGTGTGCTTTGGCTGATAATGATAGCGGATCATCCACTCCAGAAATACACTGCGAAATCTGTTGATTAGAAGTCGGAACCCCCGGGACCCGGATGATTAGGAGCATTGCCGGAATCGAATGCTAAACTGTTGGAATGCACTAATACCGAGTTTAATTATTGACAACTCCCTTGGTTTTTGGTTTTTGGTTTTTCGAGAAGGGCTATACCACTGCCGGAATTATGTAGGTGTTACAGCGTGAGAAACAAAGACCCGAATTGTTTTCGTCTTCGAGTGCAAACAAGTACAAGTCTAATTAAAATCAGAGCTTGAAGGGAAATGCATCAAGACTTAGGCACCTTGGGTGAGAAGCTTCGGCAAGCAATTTTATGGGCATGTCTGTCCCATTTTGAGTTTGCACGGCGTGGAGATCTAGATTTCCACTACGCAAACCTTCACTGGGCGCAGCCTCCAGCACATGGCTAGGCTGGTTTTGCGTATTTGTCGACCTAAAATATTCCTTCTCTCCCGGAATATGCTCAACATTCATCATGTATTTCAGTTCATCCGAGAAACTGATAATACTTCACCATGCACCTTTATACTTCCCTCGTCCTCTCGGCCACTATACATCTTGCTACGGCCGGTTCGTGCCCTGCTTCGGGACCTCCGACATATCCGAAAGCAACTACACAGAACACCGCCTTCATTCCATTCGTCAAGACTTTCCCTCTTATGAACAACACTCCGTCTTTCGAGTTTTCGATTGCAACAAAATGGTCTTCAACGAAACACGTCGCCGCTGCTGGTATGGACACCGGCTCCACCGGTGTCATGATCGGCGGCGGTCTACTTGGGTTCTCGGACAGCACACAGTTTGACAAGAGCCGTCCAGGCAACGAGTACCTTTCCTCCAGCGGCCGCTTATGGCAAGGCTACTGGATCGATGCCAACCTAACCTTCTACACGGAGGCAGATGAGCGGGCAAATCGTCAAGAGATCATCGCAACCGTCCCGATCATGGTTGTCACTGAAGCCAGCATCTGCCGTGCCTGGAAGACCCAAGGCTCTTGCACAGAGGCACAGAAGTCAAACGTTACCATGTGGCCAAACGACATCCACTACATTGGTGTTGGCTTCGGTAGAGGCAGTTCTGAGCAGCCAGATGCCTTGCCTGACAAGGTGCCTCTCATCCACATCGCGCAAATCGGCGTGGACAAGGTGAAAGATATTCACCAGGGCTACATAATTACCAAAGACGGCGTCAAAGTTGGACTCACAACTGACAATGCCGAGGGGTTCTGCAAGACAAAGCTCGAGCTGCGGGCTGGGTCCAACGATACTGACTGGCAAATGGTGAAGATGGCGATCAAGATCAACGACTCGCCCTGGAACTATGGCCATGCGCTATTCGATACAGGCATTCCCCAAGCCTATGTGGCGGTGTACAAAAACGTCAGTTCGCGCGCAAATACCACCACGTCCGAATACATCAAAACGCACCCTCAGGTCTTGGCGAGGGGAAGCAAGGTTGTTGTGTCGGTGCCTGACGACAAGAATCCGATCGCCACTTACACTGTCATTGCTCAAGGTGCTGGCAAGCCCGACCCCGCCACCATGCAGCCATCGGGGTTTGTCATGGAGGCCGAGCCGAGCAAAGAAAAGGGTCCGTACATCAACACAGGCAGGATGTTCTACAACGATTTTGAAGCATTGTTTGACTCGGAGTGCGGCTGGTTTGGACTGTCTGATATCTCAGGCGGCACCGGGAAGAGGGCGATTTGTCCTTAATGAGCGTCGAATGCTTCATATTTGATTCAACACATGCACCATATTTTCTATAAAGATAACATCAAATCGTTGCTCCATTCGAGAACAAAGCTCAACCTTTGATTATCCTCAACCCTATCGATTCTCTTGATTGCATGACCCCAGATCTCCCAGTCCGAGCAATGTACGCAAGGACAAAGCACCTAACCCTATATTCACTAGTCACGTCGATGCTAAGATTGATCGTCCAAAGAGACAATCAATAAATCAACAACCAGTTCCAGGAACTCTGGCCAAACGATACTTATCACACGCTGGTCCCCTTGGGTTCTGTTCGAGGCACCCTGGGACTGGACTTCAGTAACTCAACGCCTTCTGGAAAGTCCCTGATCCTTCCGTCGTCATCCCATAGAGCAGCAAGGACCTGTCGTGTGCCCTTCCATGGCTTACGGGAATGCATCACGGCGTAGTTCTGGTGGGGCGCCTCTGGTGTCAGCCACATCACGCTAGGGCAAACTCTCTCGGTCAAATACTCACGTCCAGTAGCACCAAATCTCCTTTCTCCCATTCGACATCAACGGCACCATCCTCTGCGAGTTTCAGCAGCAGGTCCAAGTCCTCAAGATCAATGGGCGTGCCATCGCCGTAGGTCGGCGGAGGGTGGTAGGATCCGTCGTCACCCTGGAAGGGAGGCCTCGTCGCACCATGATGCCTGCTGCGACCCCAGGCGGATGTGACGTTTCCGAAGAATACTGTTGCTTCTGTAGGATTGTGAACCCGGATAGCTTGGCATTGTTGTTAGTTTCTGGGCAGTCACAAGTGAAGCCAGAATCCATGGAATACGTTCTCACCAGGAACAATATGTGTCACGCTTATGCTACCGTCTTCGTGCCACTCGAATCGATTGCTGTGGCGTCGAACCTCGTCCTCAATCTTATTCCTTGCCGTTATTTCGTCGTCCTCGTCTGTGACCTCTTGGCCGTAAGCCCCGCGTATACTCGTCCCAGTGTTAGAAACAAGCGGATTTGTTGTGTAGCGATAGACGTATTTGACACCCTTGTTGAGAAGCTCCGAGAGAAATTGAGGCTTCTGACGAGAAAGCTCATGGGCAATGTAAATAGCCGAAGTAATTGGGGTTGCGCCACCTATTTGGGTCAGCGATGAACATCTAGGGCTCAGTATAACAAGAAACAAGATTCACAATTGGTGGGTGAATGTAAAAGTAGGAACACTCGTATCAGCAAAATGTAACATACCAGAATCGGGAAGCTTAAGAGCGCTAAAAGTCAACCATGCTGGGTTGATGGTACTCCATCCATATTCACTGTGTGGCCAAATGGGCAATTCTGGTGGACTGTTGAGCCTAATCAGCTTCCCGTTACGGCTCCAGCAAGTGATACTATCATACAGCTTGACATGCAAGACAACTTGCCAGTCCGAGGTCTCACCGAACTATATTGGGGTGGCTGGGACTTACCCTTCATTTGCCGTTTTCACATTTGGTGCCAAAACAGTTCGCAACGGAGGACGTCCAACCTCGACGTGAGGGCGGAAGCCAAAGGCATGGGCAACTTTGCTATAATCGTCGGGCGTCTCAATTGGAAGCCCGCGGATCAAAATGGCGCCAGCGTGGTGTTTGATTAAACGGGCCAGATCACCAGACTGTGTAAAGCTCTTGATAACTTCGATGCTGTTCGAGAGACTGAGAGCCTTTGTCGCCTTGAGGCCAAGGGGGAAGGGGGATGACCATGGTAGTCCAAAGGCGGCTGTGTCGTGTTGACCAGGTACTGTAAATGGCTCAAAGAGCTGCAAGGTTTCCTCAATACTCCGTCGGTCACCTTCTCTTGACGTAGACGAAGTATCCTTGTGGGTTGAGGTCACTTGACCCGCTGCCATGGTGAGTCGTGGTGTAAGTTCGAGCTAAGTGTCCGGAAAGATGCGGCTCACCTGGACCCCATGTGCCATTTGCGTCTTCGGGCGAAATACAAGACTTTTATGTAGTTATCCCCTCTCCCAATATCATGGATTAGTCAGTCGAAAGATTGGTGCATTGGGGTCTATATTCACCAAAGTGATTGGGCTTCCTCCTGGTGCATGACGTGATCGCGGATCCTCACCTCAGGCGTCGGATCCTATGCGACGACAGACGAATGCGCGGCCGTGCGATTTCGGGCGGGAGCGGGCAATTGAAAGGACATATCTAGAGCAACCAGCGAGCTCGGATGAAGCATTTTGACGCCTTCACTGTGAGTACTACTTTCTGCTAGCCATGAATACGTAAGAGACAAGTAAAGTACTGCAAGAGGATGTTAGTTGCTGATACAATTACTTGTACAAGCTCAGTCCCAAATTCCATTGGTTTACCATTTGGTACCCAAATTCATGATAAGGTTAGATCGCTCTTTGGTTTGCCTTGCTCTGGAAGCCGGAGATATCACCTGGAAACAAGCCGGAAGTTGAACACGCCATCGCAGGTCAGCATGTCGTGATCCTGCGGAACTCCAACCAGTCACACCAAAGTAGTGGAGCACTCTATGAGAACTCCCGATTCGTGTGTCACCACAATGTTTCTTGTGCCAAAAAGGAATGGCTTCGGAAGCAGCCCGACTGCGACGCATCACGCAATACACACAACAGCTATCCTTTTGCATCTGCGGTCTCTAATGCCGCCAACTCGGGATAATGCACAGCTTAAGTATGAGAACATTCCGGTTAGGATTTGAGTTGATAACCACCAACATAGTCAACGGTTTAACTGGTGTTTGTCATTGTCAGCAAGATGGCTTCAGCAGCAGAAACGAGCGCTTCACAACTTCCAGTGGCTTCCACTGAAGATGAAGGTGCGCTTGCGCCAAAGTATCAATGGTACCGCGGCGTCTTCTTTCAGGCAACGGTGGTTGGTATTGCGGCGTTTACTGCACCAGGACTATGGAATGCAATGAACTCGGTTGGGGCAGGAGGCCAACAGTCTCCGTATCTTGTCATGTAAGGTTGTTTCTGAAGAACGAATTGGACCGTCACTGACAGGAGAAACAGGGCTGGCAACGCTGTTCTCTTTTCGCTGATGACACTCACGTGTTTAGTTGGCAGTATAGTCGCCAACAGGGTTGGGTTAAAAGCCACATTCGCATTTGGTACCATCGGCTATGTCATCTATTCTGCGGCTCTGTATACCAACAACCGCTATGGTAATGAGTGGTTCATTTACGTCGGATCGGCAGCCTGCGGTATTACAGCAGGGTTGTTCTGGGCCGCGGAGGGAGCGATTATGCTCAGCTATCCCGAGCCAGAAAACCGAGGCAAGTACTTGGCCTACTGGCTCTGCTATCGAAACAGCGGCAGCATCTTGGGCGGTATCATCAACCTCGCTTTCAACTATCAAGGCCGACGTACGGGGAAGCTTGACTGGAGGACTTACATCGTGTTTGTAGTTCTACGTAAGTTCAGGCCCAAGCTTCCGGCTAATTGACCCAGCCCGCCGATAACAAGCTGCCGTTGGAGACATTACGAGACGCTACTGACTCAACCTTATTCAAGAATGTCTCGGGCCCCTTGTTGCCCTGCTCCTTTCCCCACCAGAGAAAGTTGTCCGACGGAACGGAACCCGCGTCCAGATTGTCGAACGCATATCCGACTCGGCTGAATTAAGAGAGCTCGGACGTCTCATGCTTCGAAAGGAATTCCTCCTGGTGTAAGTCTCATGGCGCGTCGCTCATGCCCGAAGTCTCACCTAATCGATCACCCGACGATAGTGCGCCCTTTTTCGTATACGTCAACTGGCTATTGCCATACAGCAGCTCGTACCTGTCCCTCTACTTCTCCATCCGCTCCCGTGCCTTGGCGTCGCTCGTCTCAGCGCTGGCGCAGATCGCTGGCACCGCGATGTTGGGGAGCTTTCTGGATTGGAAGCGTCTTTCGCTGACGACACGCGCACGGGTTTCGTACGTGTTTTTGATGGCGCTCATTGGCGGTTGCTGGATCTGGGGCGCCATCGTTCAGGACGAGTACGTGAAGCACAAGCCATCCCTTGACTGGAGTGAGGCGGGCTTTGGACGTGGTTGGGCGTTGTACATCATGTGGCAGGTCAACTTTGCGCTTACCTACAACTATGGTTACTGGCTGGTAGGCTGGATGTCGCAGCACCCTAGCGATATCGTGAGATACACGAGTGCCGCCAGGGCGCTTGAGAGTGCGGGACAATGCATTAGCTCTGGCATCAGTTCAACTAGCACACCTGTGAGTTGCCCATGCGCTTCATCAGTACTTTCAAGTTGGTCGCTGACATTCCATTTTAGCTGACAGCGGCGTTGGGAGTCAACTTTGCTCTGTGGGGTATTGCAGTAGTCCCAGCGTATTTTGTCGTGAGGCAAGTCGGTCTCCGTCATGTTGGTGCCCATGCACAGGAGAACCAGTTTGATCCAGAGGATCAAGACAGGAAGGCTTCTCACGTTAAAGATGGCCAGTAGTAGCATTTTCACTGTCAAACACAGTCGCAAGTGGTCATTTGGGGGAATGTTTTGTGGAATGTTTTCTCTTTAGAAGGATAATATCTACATCACCACAAAGTAAACTTTGTAAGGCAGAAATGTTGGTAAAGAGAAAAGGCCCTTAATCTACACCGTCGCCTCTTGTCGATTTAAGGAGACAGGGAGATGCAGCCGCTGGAGCTGTCCTCCTGGAAGATGCCGCCGTAGATGATACCCTCGTTGATGCCGGAAGGCTGGTCGCCGCTCTTGGTGATGTCAGAACCGCCGTTGACGGGCTTCTTGAGCATACCAAAGTGGTACTGGCCCTGGCCGGCAATGTTGTTGGCGACAGCGGCACCCTGGGACTTCAGGGCGGAGTTACCCTGGGAGTAGAAGACTTCGGTGGTGCTGGGATCAGATGTTAGCAATACAGTCATGGGGAAGCCTCCGGGGTCCTGAAAACACATACTTGGCGGTGAAGTCAAGCTTGACGGCGAAGTTGTGGAAGACACCGGGGGTGAACTTGGTCTTGAAAAGCTCGGGGACGGGGTTGGAGTTCACGTTGCCGAAGAGCTGGAGGGTGTCAGGGTCCTCGGTGTTCTGGCCGAGGATGGTGCCAGTCTTGAGGACGAGCTGGTTGGTGCTGAAGTCGGCGCTCTCGAGGAAGACAAGCTGGTACTCGTGGGACAGGTTCAGAGGGCGCTGGGCATCCTTCTGAAGGCTGAAGTGCAAGGTCTTGATGCCCACAGTCGAGGGGTCCGTGCCGTTGTTGCTGAGAGGCAGCATCTCGGCGCGGCGGAAGCCAATCTGGACGTTGGTCGCCGACGGGGCAAAGATGGACTTGTCACTAATGGTGACCTCGAAGGCCTGGGTGGAGTTGCCATCAAACTAAGGGGCGGTGTTAGTCTTTAACCCCGGAAACCCGCTTTTGATGGAGAATTCTGAATCCTCCCGAGGTAACTCACCAGGGATTGGCTACCGGGGAGCTGGATAAGTTCGCTGAACTTGAGACCCTTACCGAAGACGTTGGCGGTGTTGAAAGGGCTGGAGGTGCCATCGAAATCGGCGGTGGTGAATGCCTTCGGGATGCGGCCGTCGAACTGGAGGCTGCACTGAGCCTTGGCACCGGCGGTGTCGTTCTTGGTGCTACCGCTGCAAGCGGCCGCCGCGGTGGCGACAAGGGAGAGGACGAGAGTAGAAGTGAACATTGTTCCTAGGCCGGCTACGAGCGGGGTCTGTACAATAAAAAAAAGAGTGTGGTGGTTTTTGGTAATAGCGTCTAGATGAGACGAACAGAAAAGAATGTGTAAAGAACGGAAAAGATGATCTACAGAAACTTCGGAGTCCAAGCGAAAAGGACGGGAATCAGATGGTGGGGAGTCACCATAATTTGTATGCCAGCTCAGCTTCGTGCCGTCTGATCTGGAGCCGTTCCTGGCCTGCCATGCTCCTTCTGTCGTCTCCAGTCTCTTCATCCGGGGTGGTCTCTTTCACCTCTCCGCCGCCCCTTACTCTCCGGAAACTTTTTGCTGCTGTCTGGGATTGAATGGGGGGTTTCTTGGAAGGCCGTGTCATGCTTCCTTGCCATCTGTAACTCGGCGCGCCTCGTCAGCCTGAGCCGTGCTGTTGGGTAGCCGCTCTGCTGATGAGAAGCAGGGTTACGCCCCGTAAAGAGCCCATTAGACTTTCCGATGATTCAGTTTCGGAACCACTGCCCCATTTGGGGGTTGACTGCACAGGACTTAAGGCGGCCAATTCGTCTCCCCAAATCTGCTGTCAAGGTGAACACGCGAGTCGTGCCAGATTGTCTGATCCACGAAAACCTCACTGGAAACTCCGGACTTCCCGGCATCAACTGAGCATTGGCTCCCTACGCCACGTGGAAGACTTGCAAAGATCTAACGTGTAATGGTATTGATATTAAGGGGATATGGATTAACGCACACTTTTTAGCCTAACTTTATTGGCGAGATAGCATCATTGTTGCCGTCGTAGATCATTGTTTGCGCAATCCGGCGATTGCCTTGGGATAGAATCCGACTTTGCGAAAGACGCGAAACCTCAGGGGGGGAATGTGGAACTGGCATGGTCTCCGTGGAAGATCTCGAAATACTCTGTTATTGTCCAGGGTGCAACTCCGCGGTCAGAGGGCATCAAACTTGGCTCAGAGTTCTGACACGCAGATCTCTGCACGGCACGTTGCTTGAGGTTGGTGTCTGATGTTCGCCAGACAATGCCAATCGAGTTGTTGGAACATTCTGCCAGTTGATGATAAGCCGGCGGATGCTCCGTTTTGCTCCTCGAGGCTGACTCGACACGCGATGCGCGGACAGCGCGCTTCGCTGGCGGCGATCAGAGGAGAAATCCACACCATTTAAATTCTCGTTTCCAATATCCGCCAGCAGTTATTAACCGCGAACTCTAATCCCGCCAAGATGGGCCCTGAGACACCCTAACAAGCAGCGATATCACCTTTCTGGCAACCCGTCGACCAAAAGCGTTCTAGAACGGGTGATGAGCCGGACGCTAGTATGGTAATCTAGTTGTCATTCCATTTCACCGGGACGTCAGATAAACATTTACTCAGCCCGCAACCTAAGTCTCCGCACTGGCTCGGCATATGGTGGGAAAACCTGCGGGACCCGGATGGAGGCAGTGGTACTTGATCTGAGACGCAGTTGCGCGTTGAGGTAATCAAAGGGACTTGGCACGCGTGAGCTCCGCTTAGTCACTACTCTCCGCCAAGCTATCGTATTAATTCGCTGGACGGTGATTTCAACGGCAGGATTGTTGAAAAGCTTTTTTTGCTACCAACTAACTTCATCTCTTGGTTCCGTGGAGTTGGCGTACCTAGTGTCGTCTTGTAAGCGAGAGCAAGTATCATTAGGACAAGAGGCTCAATTGTCCTCATTTCTAGGATATAGTGGCAAAAGTTACCGTCCCGTCCCATTTTGACTTTGGGATGCCCTGTAAAGCTTGGAGCCTGAATGACCCTTGAATGTTAGAAAATGATCCACTCGGGAGGGTCAACTGCGACTGAGCTTGTCCACGAGCAGATATCCCAATGCGATTCCAAAAGCTACTGGAAGCCAACATGCCCCTGAACTGGTTGCACATCGACCACCTGAGATACTGCCGAAACGATTCTAGCCGTTTTGCGACTTGGGTGCGCGCGAAGACGGATTAAACACACAACCGCCACGCATCATTTGGCGAGCAATGAATGACCTTTGCGTGCACGTCATGTTGCGAGAGGCTCTGCGATGTTCATACTCCATGCATGGAGCCTTGACAGCCGATGAAACGAGGAAGAAGAAATTTAGTGATTGCCCGTAGATATCAGACCATGACACAAACCAGTCTCGCAACGCGTACATGCGCCTCATGTCTGCGCCTGCGACGAGGGTCATGAGATGCAATGACACCGACTTCTTTTTGTCGCGCATCGTCATATGTACCGCGAAGCCCTGCTGAAAGACACGGAACCGGTTGCCTGGTGCGGCCCGACAACCCGAGGGCGGCACAGTCCGACATTTCTCCACCCCTCCCCGGCCGTCTCATCTAGAATATGCTGTCTGGATCTTGGTCATGTTTGTTCATGTTTCTTCGGCTACTAGGATAACAAGATCAGCCAGGGGGAAAAAACAAGTCATGATAGATCATCTGTGCGTCGTCGGACAGAGCCCTGCTCGATGCTGACCGAAGCACTGCCGCATCCGGTTCACCACCACTGAACAGCCAGTATCGTCGCTCAGCCGCCACAAGCACAAGAGCCAGCGGAATGAGCGAAACCGTGGGTGGCGTGTTTTTTTTGCTGCTCTCAGAGCGCTCTGCCCATTCCAATGGGCTGGAAGGGTCAGAATAAGAAAAGAAACGGCCGCCTCGATAGCACTTCTCGTGCGATGTGGCTGGAAACGACCCTGCGAGGACAAGCCACAGGCATTCCTCCAGCCAATGCTCGACGAAAGGGATGGGGAGCCTCCCACGTGCACATAAGCTATCCGCGGTAGGAATCAAGGCGCCGGTAGCATCGATGGAGCTAAACCTGGACCGGACGCAGGTTATCAAAAGCATCGATAAAACCCTGTCGCGTCCCCCCTAGGAGAGGCGAATGCGATGGCATTCCGTCAAAGTGGTTGGCAGTCGTCACTCTTCGGTGAAGAATTCATTCGGACTTGCATCTTTTTTGCTCTCGATGTTCGGAGTTCCGAACCTTGGCTGATCTGCATGCGAACCAAGACAGCTGCGTCATTAGCTGTCGACCCAAGTCATGGCGCTGCTGAGACAGAAAGGTTCCCAACGTTCTCGTTGTGGGCAGAGTTCACATGATTGGAAAGAGCAGTAGGGTCCATGTCTAGAAAGGGGCACGGAGAATGTATAGTGGCAGCTTATTTATCTACGTAGTGCCCGGTTCGACGAGGTTAAACCTCAATACTTCTCATCAATACCATCTTACAGCTCAATTACTTGAGATCACTCAGACTACGTCCAGTTAACATCGGCACTAGCCAATCAAAACTTCAGTACTGTCAACAAATCTCAGCTATCATAATGGCTGAATATAAACTCAACATCCGCATCGACAAGAACTGCGTTACAAAGTTCAAAACCAGTGGGCACAAGATATGTCTGGCCTTTGGCTTTGATACCACCGCCAGACCGGGTTCCACCAAGTTCAACGTCATCGGATACTCTTCAGGTACGTCTACAATGCAGAAACATGATCCAGAGCCGCGTAGCTAAAAGATAGTCAGTTTGTGCGAGGAATCTGATGGTGACATGGAAGGAAGACTATTCAATCGCAGCCAGCAGCAGTGCGTTCGCCAGCGGAGGTAAGTTCTGCCCGGCTATCTCCTACACGTGCCATGATATCGGTCTCCCTGACACGGCACCAGTTCGCTTCGACGTTGCAACGACACCGCAACCCATCTCCTCGGGAGAGACCTGGATCCTGCCCCCGGACTGGAGCGACGGCTCCTCCACCCCCGACCCCGACGTGCCCGATGACGACATCTTGTTCGTGAACGAGGCGTCGTCTGCGTCTGCCGTCGTGTACAAGACGGTAAACGGCGTCGAAGCCCCCGTCTACGTCAGCCACTTCGGCCCCCTGCCTCCCGGGAGGGAGTCCTTGACGCCCAAGTTGCAAGCTGCCGTGTGGTTCCAGATGGGCGCCGAGACCGGGGCCATCGTTGACGAGCACGACACGCCCATCCATGTCATTGATTTCACGAAAGAGAGCTTCCATGAGGTCGTGTATGGTCCGTCGGGCTCGTGGGCTATGGTTGAGTAGATTACTAGTGTTAACGGCCTGGCGCTGTTACGCTCTTTCGACCAAGGGGTTGAAGCCATGTAGAGTATGAGTTATTTTTGGAGCGAGTTTATTCCACGCAGCTGCCGCATTTCCCTAAGAAATGACTGAGCTGTTTTCAATACCAGCATTGTTCGAACACAGACATTCAGTCCAAGTAATCATTGTTAACTTGATTTCATGGAAATTTCAGACTCTGTCAATAAAAACAAACAGATATAAGTTTAAAACAAATTGATTCAACATGAATGAATTGCTTTTACCCTCCAGCACCTGAGCCAATGTCTCACTCCTTTGCAGGAGGGCTTTTGCTCTCACAACTAACGTGGAAAACCGCCAACTTGACGACATCCTTCATATCCCGTAAGAGCCCGATGTTCTCCTTGAAAGCCTCCGTTTCGCGGAACTTGTGATGCGCCTCGACGCTCGGCCACCCGATGAAGGCCGCCAGCATGTTGCCCGTCTTGCCAGGCTCGTCGGTGACGGGCACGTCGTTCTCAACGCTCCATCCGTGACTGATGCCCTGGAAATCCGGCGACGTGTCGAGAGCCTTGGCCTTGAACTCGTCCATCTGCGCGCTCAGCGCGGTCTTGGCTCCCTCGGAGAGGTCCGCCGGGAAGAAGAGGGTGAGGACCTCGACGACGGGGGCTTGGGCGAGGATGGTGGGCGGCCAGGGGGTGGGGGCGATGTGCTTTATGTAGCCCTTTGTCCAGTCGAGGTATTGGCCCAAGCTCTCACCGATGGGATCGTGGGCTCTGTAGGAACGCGGTCAGCTGTTTGTCATGTGGATTGCAAACGCGACCCTGTGAAGGCGGCGTGGCTCGGGACGGTGGCTTACGCGGTGTTGCGGTACTTTGCATGGTCTTCGACAGAGTCCCAGTCGAGGAAACACCACGACTGGTCTGGCTTCTCGATCGCGTTGCCGTAGTAGATGCTCCCGGCGCCGGGTTGGCTGACGGCAAGGTTGGTAACCCAGTCGTAGTCGCCATCCTTGTCCGGGAACGTCGCGCCCGGCTTGACGGTGAAGTAGGAGAACTCAGTGACACCCATTTTGAGAACTTGTGCTTGCTGTTGGCTTGAGGTAGTTGTGTTTGTGTTCATAGAGTAGATATCTGTATTAAAAATCTTGTTCTTCTCTTGGCGGCCAGTCTCACTTTCTCAGCAGTCAGCTATCGTGAGGTTATATCTCAATCTCAAGCTGCAGTGAGTGGAGCGCGGTTCAATGCATCGCGTGCAATGAGGTAAGCGCATATGATATCATCATGGCTCATGCAGAATTACCCTGCACAGACAGGGGTGGTCGCTACCGAAGGGGTGAAAGGCCATGGCAATGTGGGGATCACAACCCGATAACAAAGTTGCTCTCACTGTGAGTCAACCAAGATGCGGTGATGAGCCATGGCTCTTGACATGCTGCAATGCCCCAATGGCTCGCGACTAAGAGAGCCTCGACTTGCTAAGAAATGGAATCTTGACTTGGCCCTTGCACCGTTCGTTGAGCTTCAGATGATGGGCCGGGAGCTCGTCGCCAAGACTATTGCGATCGGTCTCAATTACCAAACTCTGCCAAAATTTCCAAAGACTTGGGAACCCTGGAAATAACGGTAGGAGTGTGTAAACCCGTTATCGCATTTGTTATCGTTGATGTAATGTCGGGCTCAAGAATTTTTTTAAAGTCCTAAGCAGAACAAGCTAACAACTGGCGCAGAAACTCCTTTGGGGATTGTCGAGATCATTGCCCACGTGTGGTTCCCATCCAGGGCTGCCGACTACCAACGCCTCCCAACGTCGCTGGCGAAGCAGATCCATAACCCTCGGCGGACCAATATGTCATTCACGTATCAATAACAAACCATCTCGGCCGACCTGCCGGAGCCAAGCCATCATGCAACCGCCTCTCCCACCTTTCCCCCTTCCCCTTGCCCCTAAACCTCCTCGCCCTCGACAAAGGGGAACAACACGAACAAATACAACTCTGCTCTGGTGAGTAAACCCCAACCGCCAAGGAAGGAGGCTCTTCCACGATGTCGCACCCGCCCGAGATCTTCAACTCTGGAACACCTCCAGATCCCCGTCGTCTCGCCCTTGATTGGTTCTTGGATGCGCTGAAACAAAGGGGCTGGCAGAGTCGTGGACAAGGGTCTCCCGTTCGGATCTAAAGCGAAGACCAGACGAAGTCTCAAAAGAGACTTGAGGTGAACCCCCACCAGCAGTCACATCCAAACTGCGTCCGCCAGCCCTTGCCCAAATCGCCAACTAGCCCCGTCTGGCGTGCCCTTCTTCGGACGACATGGGTTCCGCAAAGGAGCCCGAAACGGCAGAGCTGCGCGCGACCGCGGCTCAAAAGCAGGCCGTCAGGGACAGCCTTACCGCATCGAGCGCCGGCGACAAGCTTTTGAGACTCGGGGTGTTGCAGAGGAGGCTCTTTTGGACCTGGGCGCCTGCGCAGTCGTGCAATAACACGGCCAATATCGCGCTAAAAAATCCCACGCTTCTCGCGGCCTCCTTGAGACTCTGCCAACCTTAACCCTCACCCGCTCCGGCACCTGTCAACCGAGTCTCTTTAGGTTTTGGCTCATGGCTCATGCTGATAGCCCTCTGCAACTCGGCATCACGTCTTGTGATTGGGGGCCGGGCTTCGGTCACGCCAGGAGTCCAAGAGGGACGATCCCGGACTCTGGACGAAAATCGCCAACAGGGGACGGCCGGGGGATGTGCTGCGCATCAAAGTCAACATGACCCAGATTCCACCCCATCAGAGCCGCAGTGAGAGCAGGTTTTGACGATGTTTAGACTAGTACGGGGGGCCGCCCTATGCTTATTTGCCAAGAGCCCCTCCCTTCGCTTCCCACCCTTGCGAGTGATGTGATGCTTAAAAGGCGATCATGTCCAGTCGTACCTGGTGTGGTCTTGACTCTTGTTGTTTCCATCACTAGTAATTCACTCTTTGTTTCTTCCCATTCAGTCCTTCCGGCAAGGTCTTTCGCTTCGTTTCGTTTCTCTTCACGACTTACCATCCGCTGTTGACCTTCCCACCGTCTCTTCCAAGACACCTTTTTCGAAAAGCTCTTTATAATCACGTCAAGATGCAGCTCTCTTTCGTCGTCCTCGCGGCCGCTGCTGGTGTCGCTCTCGCAGGTAGGTCACCGTCAACTTTCTGGTCGAGATGCCAAAGGTCCCAAGACTAACATACACAATAGCCCCCAGCCTCGCCCCGCGCCAAAACGCCTGCTTCCTCGTCGGCAACACGGTTCTCCCACAGGAGGTCGCGGACGCCGCCACCAGCCTCCAGAACAAGGTCACCTGCGACGCCACCAAGAAGACGCTCTCGGGCGTGCCCGACGTCGATGCCGGCGGCGTAAAGTTCTCGGCCATCAACTTTGCCGACTCGAACCAGACGCCCCTCGCGTTCGCGCTCAGCAAGTTCGCCACCAAGGAGCCCCTCGCCGACAACGACCTCGCGACGTTCCAGAACCAGCTCGACGCCTACGTCGCCACCGAGGCCGGCATCCGTTCCGTCGGAGGCGGCCTGGGCATCAAGGTGCCCAAGTTCTTCCTGGCCATGCAGGTCTCGCGCATCCAGACGGCCCAGGGGAACCCTCCTGCGGCGGCCGGCCAGCAGGTCGACCACCTGCGCGACAAGGTCCTCAAGAACGCGCCCAAGGAGGCCAAGGCGCTCCTGGACCAGGTCACTGCCCTGGCCGCCCAGACTGCCTAGGCTCGCGGAGGACGAACCCCGCGGCGGGGTGTCAAGATGGGGGGGAAGGAGCCAATAGTGGAAGTTAATGTGAATTGAATCATTATTCAACCGGTCGTCTCGACGTTGAAAATACATTGAAACATGCCGCCCTTTCTCGGGCGTACTATACAGGCCATGTGATGATGGTATGGTATTAATGACAAGAGGGGGGAAGGAGGAAGAAGAGCGTCTTGTTCTTTTTCCAAGCACCGAACCGTTTGTATCGTGTCAAAACGCCGCCGTAAAAAACAATACTCACCCCGTAAAGACATGTCGGGGTTTTCCAAGTGTACACGCCGCAAGCAAGCCCGCTCACCCTCGGGGACCCCTCCGTTCGCTTTTGTTCTTGTTCTTGTTCTTTGTCGTCGTTGCCTCTAATTTTGCTTCCACTGCTTCTCGAGCTGCTCCCTCTCGCGCACCTCGGCGCCGGAGGCCTTCCACCACACATCACCACCCCATCGGATGAGACGCTCTGCCGCGCCGAGAGGTGTCATGGCGGGCCGGACGTCGAGGTAGAAGACGGGTTCGCCGGTGGGCTCGGGCTCGCCCGAATAGTAGTCGATGACGTATCGGATCTCCTTCTCGACGTCGCCCATCTTGCGGGAGACGTACCAGTCGTGTCGGTCAAAGGGGGGCTCGGTCCTGCGCGGGTTAGTGGGCGTGTTCAAGAGCGAAAGGGCTTTCGTGGGAACGTACTCAAACTTGGACGGGTAAAGCCAGCCCGCCACCTGCCACATGACGGCCTTGGGCGTCATGTCCTTGGGGCGGCCCTGGAAGCGAATGAGGGTGGGCGGCGACTCGGTGCCGTCCTTGAGCTTCTCGACCATGTCGTCCGAGTTCTCCTCGCCGCGCTTGCAGGCCTGCCAGCCCTTGTACAGGCCCTTGCCGAAGCGCTCTTCCCAGCTGACGATCTCGGCCCAGGCGCCCTCGTTGAGGAAGTTGTGGACCGAAACCATGGACTCGACGGCGGTGATGTCGGTGTCGGTGTAGCCCTTGCGCAGGAGGGCGTTGTACATCTGCTGGGGTGAGGGGTACTCCCAGTTGCCATCGCCGGAGCCCTTGGGTATCGTCGAGGGCTCGCGCTCGGTGGGGAGGGCGATGACCTGGTTCTCGGCGGGGGCCTGCGAGATTTCCTTGAACATGTAGTTGAGGGGGTTGATCTGCTGGAGGAAGCCCTTGGGCTCGGGCTTGGGCTTGTCGTGCGGCACGGGACATGACGACGGCGGCGCCGCGGACTGCCGTTGATCGTGGGGAACGGGGCATGCCGAGGGGGAGGAGCAGCGGCCTGGCGTTGATCGTGAGGGACCGGGCATGCGGAAGGAGCAGCGGGTGCGGCGGCGGCGGCGGGCTTTGCGTTCGGGTTCAGGGCGTCGAGGGTCTTGTTGTGCATCGGACAGCCGGGCTAGAAAGTGTTAGGCAGAGCCGTGTATCGACGAAGGGATCGGACGTACAGGAGGAGGGCCGGCCGGGACGGCAGCGCCATGGGGATGCGACACGGAAACGGAGCTCGCGTGGATGGACGTCGCAGGGCCATCAGCCCAGAACCAACCCATGATGGAGAGTTGATAAGATTGAGATTAACAGAAGATGGGGAGAAAAGGTAGTAGTAGCAGGAACAAAGTATTGTACAAGAAGGTATCGGATGCGACGACGTGAGGCGTGACGGGTTGTTGGAGGAGCCTTGCTAGGAGAAAGAAAAGAAAAAAAGATTTACGGGCGCGCGGAATCTGGCGATAAGAAATTGGGAACGGCGGATAAAGAAGTTCGAGGACAGTGGGCTTGGCCTGTGGGTTTCTTCAGGCCTTTGCGCGCTATGGTGGTGCTCAGCTCAGCTTGGGGTCAGCTCAGCATGTAATGGGCAATGGACGGCACCGCAGTGGTCCATTCGCCCAAATCTCCCCTGTCGTTGGCGTTGGCCATCGGATAGACCCGCGATCACTTTCCGACTTTGGCCCGCGTCACTCCTCAAGCGCAGCAAAAAAAAAAAAGAAGAAAAAAAAGGGCCGCCTGGACGTGTCACTCGCCCCTCGGAAAATCGCCCAACTAAAAAAATGCGAGTGTCATTGATTGATTGGCACATGATTTCCCGAGGATTTCCCGCTCAGCAGCTTGCCATCTCCCCCCCCCCCCCCCCGGCGAAATAATCCCTACGTCACCACCGAACCGTTGACGTCCTTTCGATTACGCTCGTGGGTGATCCTAGTCCCGGTCCCGCGATCCGACACTGGGCGTGCGCATCCCGAACCGTCAGCTCAGCCCGCCCAGCTCACGCCAATTCCTCCCTCCTCCCGACCAGCCCTGTAAACGACCTCGACACCCAACTCGACCTCGAGATTGAGAACATGATACCCGTCTTCCGACCTTCACCCCCCAATCCTCCCTCGAGATGAGACTGGCCTTCGTCCTGGGCCGGTTTTGTCCACGTCCGGGCTTCCGAGCGCCAGCGAACGGCACCCATTTCTACTCCACATTCAGAGGCGCTTTCCGCACCACCCAGACGAGGCGGCTGCCATGGCGGGCCAACCGATACACGAAATACACCCTCCGAGCGGGCGGTGCAGGTGCAGGCGCGCTCGGCACGGCTGCCTTTTTTGAACTGTCAGAAAAGGATAACGGGGGCACCGACCAGACGGGCGAGAAGCGCATGCTCGAGGTCAGCCGAGCCGAGATCAAGAAGAAGGTCGCCGACGATGACAGCGGCATCTCGCGCGCCTGGCACACGCTGAAGATCGCCGTGGACGTCTACATCTGGGAGCCATTGTGCACTGGCGCGCGCTTTCTCCATCTCCTCGTCATCTTCGTCCCCGTCATCGTTGCGGTCCCCGCCATCTGGCTGGGTAAGCGGCGGCCCGATCGCGATAATGAGCGCAGCGGAACGCTCTGGTGGTACGGCTTCCTGGTCCAGTCAATGGAATGGGCTGGGCCGGCCTTCATCAAGGTATGATCTTTGAGAAAGCTCTCGATGCGCCACAAGAAAGCTCACCACGTCGCAGCTCGGTCAATGGGCAGCTTCGCGCTCCGACATCTTCCCCAACGAAATGTGCGAAATCATGTCGAAACTCCACTCCAACGCCCCGGCGCACTCCATGCACGAAACCAAGCGCATCGTCTCCGCTGCCTTTGACGGCCGCCACTTTGACGACATCTTTGAGGAATTTGACGAGAAGCCGTTAGGCGTCGGCGCCATTGCGCAGGTTTACCGGGCCAAGCTGAAGCCCGACCTTGCCGCGCCCAGCGACAACGACATCGTCGATGGACCCCAGCCGCTCCGCCACAAGGTGGCCAAGAACGTCGATGCAGCTCTCAAGAGCACGCCGAAGAGGGTCCCTTCGACCTACGTCGCCGTCAAGGTGCTGCACCCGCGCGTTGAGAGGACCGTCCGGCGAGACCTGCGCATCATGCACTTCTTCGCATCTGCCCTTAACCTCATTCCCACGATCGAGTGGCTCTCCCTCCCCGACGAGGTCGCCCAGTTCGGCGAGATGATGAAGCTCCAGCTTGACCTCCGCATCGAGGCCGCCAACCTCGCCAAGTTCCGTAAAAACTTCAAGGAACGCACCACCGCCTGGTTCCCGTATCCCTACACCGAGTTCACCACCCGCAACGTGCTGGTCGAGGAGTTCGCGCAGGGTATCCCGTTGGCCGACTTTTTGGAGAACGGCGGCGGGGTCTTCCAGCAGGACATCGCCTCGGAGGGCCTCGACGCCTTCCTGCGCATGCTGCTGATCGACAATTTTGTCCACGCAGACCTGCATCCCGGCAACATCATGGTGCGCTTCTACCAATCCCACGAGCCCGACATCAAGTTCCGTAAGAACCACAGCAAAGAGCACTTTGAAGAGCAGGACGACGTTACGGAGCAGGTCCTTGCTAGACTGCGCCCCTACCGCCACCGCAAGAATCCGGCCGCTTGGGTCGCCGAGCTCCAAAAGATCGACAACGAGGGCTTCCGCCCGCAGCTCATCTTCATCGATACGGGCCTCGTGACGGAGCTCAATGAGACGAACCGTACCAACTTCCTCGACCTGTTCCGCGCCGTGGCCGAGTTCGACGGCTACAAGGCTGGCAACCTCATGTGCGAGCGCTGTCGCCAGCCCGACGCCGTGCTGGACAAGGAGGTGTTTGCGCTCAAGATGCAGCACCTCGTCCTCGGCGTCAAGAGCCGCACCCTGGCGCTGGGGAACATCAAGATTGGCGATATCCTGCAGGAAGTGCTGGGCATGGTCCGCGGCCACCATGTCCGGCTCGAGGGCGACTTTGTGAACGTTGTCATCAGCATCTTGCTTCTCGAGGGCATCGGGCGGAGCCTGAACCCCGACATGGATCTGCTCACCAGCTCCCTCCCGATTCTGCGCCAGCTGAGCGCCCAGAGCGGCGCCGAGATGGCGAAGCACGGCGATTTCAGCATGTTGGTGGTGTGGGCGGGCCTGGAGACCAGACGCTTCTTGCAGGCTAGCATCGAAGATGTAAGTGAATGGGCTGCTCCCCGGGGGCCGCACATCGTAACCCAGCTAACCGCCTCCAGGTTGAACGTTGCGTCAAGTACGACCTCCTCGCACCGAATGTGTAATTTAAACTGTACAGTATGGGTAAATGATTGCATGGGTTGGCGCTCTAGACAGACGCGGGGTAGATATACAACTCATAGAGCAGAGGCCTCGAATACACCCCGATTTAATCATGTCATGAAGACTCATTGATTCAATTTGTTGTCTGTCTGGTGCCCAAGCTAGTGCGCGTATGGACGAGCCATGGAAGCTACAATACCAGGAGCTACCGCGTCCGTCGATCGTGCCCGATGAAGCTATCACTAGTGTCCTCAATCCCGACCGTCCTCATATCCCTCAATTTCCATGAGACCCCCTGAGGAACGACCTTGGTCTTGCGCTCGGCTGTTTGCAAATGGTCCGAGCTTCCCGTCTGGCTCGCTGCAATACCCAACCAAGCCATGCGAGTCTTCCGTCCCCTCCAAAGTGACTAGGTGAGTCAACGTATGGTGGTTCAAATGAGAAACTCTCTTAATAGGATGAGTTGAACAACCAAGGCTGTCGTCGATACTAACTTCCCTTTCAAAGGAAGAAAGAAAAAGGAGAGGAAAGAAAACTATGAAATAAAATTGAAGAAGAAGAAAAAAGGAAAAAGAAATTCATCTGGAGTGTATATTGACAACAAAACGTCCTAGAAAGCTTTCAAAAACATGCTCAGAGTAAAGAATGTGAGATACTACCCAGCGATCTGGGGTTTATCCTCGTTACTTCGGATTGGCAGAGTTGTTGCGTACCATACCTCATCGAATCTTCGAGGCGATAACATGTGTGCAGATGTCGGGCCACGTGAAAGGATAGCCCAAGCAGAAGTTGTTTATGCAGAGTGTTGGAACATGTGCTTCCCTGTACATGGCACTCGAGGCGGAGTTGGCTGGTGTGCAAGGCTTCATGAAATGTGGGCAAGCTCACCTAGTACCCAAGTAGTGCCAGATCTTGACGGTCTCTCTGTCCACGACACTGAAGCTGTATCGGTGGTCGCCCGCGGCAATAGGGCCGTTGCAGGCATATATCCCTCCTGGGTTGTCATTCTTCTGGTAGAGCTTGAAATCCGCGCAGAACAGGTCGATCCTTGCGTCAACGGTCAGAATGAAGCGGATTCAATAACTGTCTTCTCTCAAAGAGACGTCAGATTGCATGAAATGGGCATACACTCAACGGTATTAGAGCCAACCTATCTTATATACTTCTAGCTCAGACTCCATTGAGAGCTTGTATTTTCAAGAGTTTATTGCAAGAAAAATATAATAAACCCCACAAATAAGGTCTTGTTTGGATCTTGCCTTCCGAAAGTCGCGGGTTGAATTTTGAATAGTCAAATCACGTACTCAAGGCGATTGAGCAGGGGAGAGCTCGCCAACGAAGTAGACACGATCTCTTCACGCCGGTCTTAATTGCAAGTACTGTTGAAATGTAACCAAAGATGCTAGTTCCAAGGATACGGCTCACTCAATCCACCCAACTTCCAGGCATTGTTTCTCTTCTTCTTTCCAACATGTCCCAGAACTCCAGCGCATATCTTTCGTATTCTTCTACCAACCAAAAACTCCAGTCATTAGGATGAGGTCCAATTTCAAACCCGATGAGATGAACCACATATTGCACTCTTGCATCTATCCAGCACAAATTGTCGATTGTGTCCCACACGTCTTGTGAGACCTTTTGGCGTCGCTCCCACAAGCCATAGCCTAATAAGTCCACTCCAGAAGAGTGTAGAAGCCCGATCCATTGGTGCAACGATTCTCGGAAGACAACGACCACGTCATCTGGGCGGGCGGAGTCGCAGACAGCGTCTGGAATAAGTTCTGATGCCCCGTACAAGACGGAAAGTAGCGGCGTGACTGCTCTCCCCGTGTATGTTTGCCAGGGATGCAGATACTGATGCGGCATGAAGGAGAAGATGACAGCCTCTGGCTGCCATCCACGTGAAAGAAGATTGAGAAGAAAGTCAGACCACGCCACAAATCCATCTCCATTCTTGTGTGAATTCTCGTTTCTCACTGGAAACTTCTGCTCAGCCACGCAGACACCGAAGGCTGCCGCTGCGCAGATTAACAATGAGGCTCCTGCTGCGTTGGATCTTGATAGATCATTTGGGGAAAGATTATCCTCGCCTTGAACAAAATAGCAAAACGTTGACGGGCTGCATGGCGAATGCCTCAGCACCCATCCTGGTGACAAAGAAGTCACGGATACCAATGACCAAGCAACTCGGCAGCGCTCAGTGAATTCCATCAAAAAGTAATCCGGGCATAGTCTTCGTTGGAGCGTTTTTAAATCATCGTCTACCATAGCGCGCAAAGAAAGAATGTTGTGTGGTAAGTCAAATCTCGGACTGAAACATGAGCTGTCCAATCCAAAATCAGCCCACAGATCTATCATTCGGCTGGTTACCATTGGTCTCAGAGCGGATGGGAATGGTAACCATCCTGGTGTGGGATGTTCTGAACTGGGGTAAATCTCCTCGACTTCTAAACCCAGTTTCAGAAGCAACTTGGAAACGTCATAGCTTCCACATTGGCATGCCAACTGGACACTAAGTATTAGTCGAGCGTTTGATCATTGAGCGCTTCCTCCTCTTTAAGCCATTTTTCGAAGACTACTTACATGTAACAAGCTACCGTTGAAGCTACTTTGGTCATAGAGAGACGCTTGGCGCTCATTGAAAAGCCTCAATAGCCCCGAGGCATTATCTTGGCGGATACACTCCATGACCGGCCCATTATTAGGGATTGTATTGTGGACTTTGAAGCTGAATTGCCAGCTTCCCCATGCTCTTTTGCTTTGGACTTCCCACATATTGTTGGTTAGCCAATCTCTCATCCTCAAGGTTGATGTGTAATCGGACCCATCCTCCCGCCTTTCAATAGTAAGCCAGCCCCATAGCGATAAGCGGCGAAGAGTGGCTTGGCGTGAGATACAGGTCGGACTGGTTGGCTTTTGTATTTTTGTTTTCCTTTTAACGAGATTGAGGCTTTCGAGTACACGGATACGTTGGCCTTCTTCGATGCATTCGGAATCCATAACCCTCAAACGTTGGCTTATGATATCGGGTAAGGCTTGCGTGAGTGCGCTGAGATGCCTGTTAGCTGGGGTTAATCCCAAGGTGGCATATTGCCTCAACTCACCCGAGGTAGCATTGATGTGCCATTTGAAGAAGCGAAAATGCTGACTCTAACTTGGCTTCCAGAGCCTTGAGGTAGTCGTCGTCGACGACGACCTTGATTGCCCCTCTGACCCGTTTAGACTTTTTCGGCGAGCGGATTTGATCATTTAAGGTGATGCACAAGCTCTCCAGCTGCGTAGACACACTTCGGCAGAGCTTGAAGGTCTGTTGTGCAAGACTCCTGTCCCAAAAGCCGGCAGGTAAGCTGGGTTCGGCGAACTGTCTGTCCACGTCCTTGAGAAGCGCGTCCAGGATCTCCAACTTGGATAAGAGATCATCGAAGCGCTGAGGAGCGTTCTCAATCTGATCCCACAGTTGTTTGAGCTTCAGGACTGATTTTGCAGCCTGACCTGTGGCCTGCCCCACTGCGATGGCGCTGGCAACTACCCCGAGAACCTCGGCCATGATGTCAAATTAATTTGATTACGCGGATACAAACTTGTGCATGAGACTGAGTGGCTTTGCTGAGATGTCCGTGAACTCTATGTATGAGAGATGGACTAGATGTAACGATGACTGTTCGCAGTCTGGTTTGGAGCCAAGCCGTGAATGTGCGATTCTAATGTGGCTGTCAGCTGACAAACTCCTAGTCAACAGCGGGGGAGGCCAGCCGTACAAACCACTCAGGTTCCAGTCCTGATGTTGTTCTTGCACAGCCAGCGTACTGCTTTGCACTCAAGGCAGATTGAAGGGCATTTTCCAAAGTCACCCTCTTCCTATTGGCTCGGATAAGGTTCTATGCAGCTTATGCCAAGGTAATGACCTAGAGAGGTGAGATAATGTTTCCTGGATATTCCCACGTATATTGAAGCCGGACAGTCTTGCCAAAGGACAAAGACCTGCAATATGATAGATTGAATTGGATGTGATGCCCGTACGCAAGGGCTAGAGCACATTGCCGGTGCCTACGGCTTTCTAGGAAACGACAGAAAGAAAAGTACTTTGTAGCTCTGAAATCTGATGAGCTTTCAACTTGGAGCTCGTCAGATAGACTACTGGACAGGTTTTTAGCGATCTTCTGATTACTTCAATGTTTTGTTTGTCAATAACAAAAAGATGAGAGCGTCAACTCGACGACCGGCGATGTGTACGGCCCCTGCAGGGGTCCCGCATTCAGTCCCCCGCTGCTGGCCGGCTTGGGGAACTAGTCAATCAGCTCAGCTAGATTTGAGAAAAGGGGGAGGCAGCACGACCCTAAAAACTGACTAGTAGAGGCATTGGGTTGGGAGTTTGAGCTTTCTAGCCCTTTCAGATGTCGTCTTGTTTTGAAGTCAGCTGATCTGCTATTCAAAAATGGATGAAGCCGATGTGCAAAACAACATGTGTCATGTTCAACTGCAACTACCCCTTTTCAACAGCACACTTGTTCTCCCTTCCGAAGCGAATGCGTTTGTGGCACGTCCTAACCACGTTGCTCGTCCCGCCTACTTCCACTATCATGATCAAGTTTTCTGTCTGGATGTAATGTCATGGTGAGCCTGAACTACCCTGGCGGCTTCGTTGGATCGAGCAACACTATGGCTGTGACCCCTGACGGCTTCGCCATCACTTGCACCACCGACTGGGCGTTAGAGATACGTGACGAGTCAAAAGTACGACCACGAGAGTCACCAATGATCGAGCGTAGTCGAGAAGAACCAGCTTTCCAGCAGCACGTCATTTCTGATGAAATGTACCTAATGTTTGGTATTATCTTTGCGCCTCTTGCTCCGAGTCCGAACATCTCCCCGCACCTCCTGAAGAAAAGCTTGCTGCACCGATTCGAGTCGTGGAGTCATGACGGTTGTCAATGAGCGTGGCGCACCGTGCCGGATGACACGGTCTTCAACAAGCATCAGAGCGTTCTGTAGGTGACGACGACGGTGCGTGTCACTGAGGAGCAAGATGCTGTTCGAGACTCTTACCCAAGATCCACGGGATTAGACGGCTTCCACCGAGTTCTACACTCGGCTTACTCTGTACTAACCGAGCGGCAATCATTGAGAAAATGAGCAAGGCAACTCACTTAGACCGTCTCGACTCGTGTCACGGCTACGTCGAAGCAGTCGGCCGAACAATACCGCTACTATGTGCTTCTTGGTATACCAGGATTGATGGTGTTGATGACAGAAGATGATTCGCCATCTCGCCGCGAATTACGAGTTACTTGCCAGGTCAAACGCCGGAACCACTCTCTTTCTGTCAACAAAAAGGCATTGGTAGTAACTTTCGCAGTGCTAGCAGCCTTTTGCTATTGACAATCGAGGTGACGCGCTGTGACGACAATATCGCCAATACCATCCACAGTTTTCTCTTCGCTCGAAATATGGCGGATAAACGGTACAATAAACCCGTGTGCATGGGGTGCCCGCGGCCATCCCGCTCAGACTAAGGGATGGGAGAGAGCTTGAGGCTTATGACATATCATGAGTCTGGCTAGCGACAAGCGGTCCGATGTTAGCGGTTCTCCCTGAGACGTGGCGGCGGATCGTAATCCTGGTTCCCGGGAACGATGCGTTCGTGACCTTTCGGGAATGCATACCACGTTGGGTCTTGGGCTGGTTTGAGAAGCCGACACTATGGCGAAATCAAGGCGTTTTTCCAAACCACATTGCAAGAGCCAAACTGACCGTTGACTAGGTAGTCATGCTAGCGAAATCTACTCAAATAGCATGCCGAAGAAATCACCGTGAATAAGTAACAAGTGGGGAGATGATAATGGATAATCATATTTGTTGGGTGAAACCCCCTTTCTAAAGAGAAACCCAACCGGTAAACCCCCATTACTATTGAGTCGAACCAAGAAGCAACTCCTAAGAGGAGCCGCACTTCCGGCGCTCGGCCGAGTATTAAGACATGACCAGATGAAGACGCAGGTCATTTCTCCGCACACAAGCTCGACCACGCTCTCATTCAGAGCTTTTAGCGCTTGGGGTTTGGCGTTTGGCGTTTGGCGTCTGGCGTTTGACTTTTGGCGTTTGGCGTTTGTCGTTCCGTGGGGTTCGAACGTACCTTGGGCCAATGTTTCAGGGGAGCCAAAAATACCGAGCTGTGCCCGTAAAACACGAGAAAAAACATATGGTCATCGAATCAGCCACCGAAGCTTGTTTGCGAAGGATGCACAGCGCTAAACAAGGCCGACCATTTCTGTGGTATTTCGACCCGCTTTCTTAATCCTGAAAGGGACGCTTGTTTCCTTTCTCCATTGGACTCCATCACAGGCACGGGCTTGGCCGTCTTTCGGAAGAACGGACTCAAAATAAGCTCAATGGCTTGAGATGTGTCTGCATACCCGCAGTCTACACACATAGCCGTTCCTCGCTCATTGCATCATTGATGGCGTGGGAGAATAGGTTTAAAGACTCGAGCACCGTTCTTCGTTGTCATTTCTTTTATCAATTACAAACCATCTAAAGCCGAAGATGCTCACAACCACAATGGATGAATATCGAGACGTGAAGGGAAATATTGCAGTTCAATTTGGCAAAGAAGGTAAGCTTTTTTACCTTCTAGGTTAGTGCAAGCCCCTTAATCTCCTCTCCGTTGACGCCCCTTCACCACACCACCCAGTAGCCGTCAGCCACTAGCTCGCTTTAATCTCAAAGCTTTGATTGGAGGCAAGACGGACCATGATCGTCGTCAATACCCGGCCCAGGCCAGATTCCATTCGGCTCAATGAACCCAAGTAGTAGGAGCAATAGAGGAGAGATGCATCTACAACCATACACTATGTCATAGACACCCGGGACGTGCCCAAGGGCCGATCGATGTGAAGACAGGCTGCCAATCTCCACAGTCTGCTTTACGTTGGCTTCAAAGCGACCGGCAGTCTGCTAGAGAGATGTTCGAGACCGCAGGCTCGAGAACGTTCAACTATCGCTGAGCATATAATGAGCCAGTAGTTTCCGCTTTCTAGCAGTTGGCTACATCGGGACACATCGCTTCATTCTTCTACCTTTATATCCAACTCTGGTCTATTACAGTCGTTTCTGCCTCTCTGGTTTAGAGCCTTTGTCTACACAGCTACCCACAAAACTTCCATTCACTCGCTTCCAAAGCCGCTGGGTAATCAGCATCATGCGCGTCTCTATCCTTACCGCTGCCCTTGTGGCTGCTCCCGTTCTTGCCTACCCCGGCATGAAGAACACTCTCTCCGAGATACAGTCCCGACAAAGCAAATCCAACAACGGTGGTAAATCGACCGAGCTCCTCGGCGACCTCGTCACCCTCGACGACTCGAAGCTTACCTCTGTTGGCAAGAGCGTCAAGCAGCTTTTGACCGGCTCTGGCAGCCCGGAAAGCGACGATTCCTACTCTAGCGGCGGGCCTAAACATAGGTCCATTCGTAAGAGAGACTACGGCTCTGGTGGTGGTGGAGGCGGTGGTGGATATGGTGGTGGTGGAAGCGGCGGCGGCGGTGGCGGCGGCGGCGCGCCCCCATCTGGCAAAGGCGGTCCGCCCTCATCTGGAGGCGGTGCTTCCCCGGCCCCAGGAGGTGGTGCTCCTCCATCTGGCAAAGGCGGTCCGCCCTCATCTGGAGGCGGCGCTCCCCCGGCTCCGGGAGGTGGTACTCCCCCGTCTGGCAAAGGCGGCCCGCCCCAATACGGAGGTAGTCCTCCTCCATCTGGAGGCGGCGGCGCTCCTCCGGCCTCAGGAGGCGGTGTCCCTTCCATCCCCGTTCCGATAAGCGTCTCCACTCCGGGTTCTTCTTTACCCAAGGGTGGCGCATGCCCGCCAAAGGACACCCCTGAATGTGCCGCCGATACCTGCTGTATCTGGAAGTACATTGCCGACGACCTTCAAACTACGTTCAAGGGTGAGTCTGGACGATGCACCGACTTCGCCCGCGCCGCCATCCGCCTCGGCTTCCACGATGCTGGCGGCTGGTCAAAGGCCACCGGACTCCTGGGTGGAGCTGACGGCTCCATCATCCTTGCTCCGGAGGAGATCAAGCGCGATGAGAACAGGGGCCTAGAGGAGATTGTCGAGCAGACCAAGGTCTGGTTCAACAAGTACAAGCAATACGGCATCAGCATGGCCGACTTGATCCAGTTCTCCGCCAACACGGCCACCGTTGTCTGCCCCATGGGACCTCGTGTCCGCACCTTTGTCGGCCGCAAGGATTCTTCTGTCCCCGCGCCCCACGACCTTCTTCCCTCGGTCACCGGCTCCGCCGACTACCTAATTGAGCTTTTCGGCAACAAGACCATCAGCTCGTACGGTCTCATCTCGCTGATTGGCGCCCACACCACCAGCCAGCAGCGCTACGTTGACACAGAGCGTGCCGGTGACCCGCAAGACAGCACACCCGGTGTCTGGGACGTCAAGTTCTACTCTGAGACGCTCGGCAATGCTCCCGCTCGCGTCTTCAAGTTCGCTAGCGACGTCGTCCTCTCCAAGGATTCCCGCACCAGCGCCCAGTTCCAGGCTTTCGCCGGTCCTGGTGGGCAGGCTGCCTGGAACGATGTAAGCACAAACAATTCTAACCGACACAGGAATCATGCATGCTGACTTTGGCGTCCAGGGTTACGCCCGCGAGTACATCCGTCTTTCTCTCCTCGGCGTCAACAACATCAACGACTTGACAGAGTGCACCAAGGCACTGCCCCTCCGCTGGGCTGGCAACAACTTCAGAGCTCCTGACCAGGGCAACGTTGACCAATGGGTCGCCACCAAGGGCAAGGTTCCCCAGATCCCCGACGAGCTGAGAGGTGGTAAGCCCATCGGGCCTCCTCCCCCGCCCGCCGGCCCTGATGCGTCCAAGGGCAACACTCCTGGCGCACCGTCCAAGGCCAACACCCCTGCTGTGCCAACTTACAATACTCCCACTGTGCCTACGAAGGACGACAAGCCGAAGGACAAAAACAACACTCCCTCAGCACCGCCTAAGGGTAACACTCCCTCCGTACCTACTTACAACACCCCCTCTGTGCCTGCGAAGGACGACAAGTCGAAGGACAACAATAACAACAACAACAACACTCCCTCAGCGCCGCCCAAGGGTAGCACCCCCTCCGTGCCTACTTACAACACCCCCTCTGTGCCTGCGAAGGACGACAAGCCGAAGGACAACGCTCCTGCCGCACCTCCCAAGGGCAACACTCCCTCCGTGCCGACCTATAACACCCCCTCTGTGCCTGCGAAGGACGACAAGCCCAAGGATAACACTCCTGCCGCACTGCCAAAGGGCAACAACAACTCTCCTTCGGCGCCGTCCAAGGGCAACTCCCCCGCTGTGCCGAACGGCAACACTCCCTCGAACGGTGGTTCGAAGGGGAGTTCTAACGGCGGCTACGGTTACTGAATGCCGGTCTGTATTCTCTGGTGGACATACTGCTCTTGGGGCTCACATCTGAACTGGTCATTGGGGTAATGCTGGGTATATAACACTGTTGGACATGCCTCGACATAGGATATAAGCACATAAATGTCGATTTCTTAATCGAAACCGTAATTGCGATAGTTTAATGGAATTTTAAATCGTTCAAACAAGGAACAAATATGAAGGCTGAGAACGGTTGATACAAAAATGAGACCGCAAGTTTACCAATATATGCTTCTTTCCCTTTGTCGGCAAATATCCGCCGACACTATAAATCATCTCTGAACTGGAACCCTCAAGACCGCCAAGTTAAGCCATGTTCTGGTGCCACAGGTCCCAAACGCCATCTAACCATGCTCAAATAATACAGGGGCAAACCCATGCTCTCTATGCAGAGGTCTCAACCTTCTGCGTCCCTTCCTCCTTCTTCCCTCCGACCTTCAACCCTTCCACCTCGGCGGTGATCCCCGTAAACGGACACACCCCGCCCCCGCCAGCGCTGTTCGGTCGCGGCAGCCTCGAGGGCGACTTGGGCCCGGCAACGTTCTCCTCGTCCGACTCGTTCTCGAGGATCTTGCGGCCGTGCAAGTAGCCCTCCTCCTCGATTTCAGGCTCCTCGTCGTCCCTGGCGAACTCGGCGCCGTCCCGGACGTGCCACTTGGCCATGAGGTCGTTCTGGATCCAGATGACCTTGCCGAGGGCCTTGACGAGGGCGATCTTGCGCTGCATGGACAGGCGCGGGTGCGAGAGGATCGCCTCCGTCATGACGTCCTGGATGAAGGAGAGGCAGGCGCCGAGGTGGATGTACTCGACGTGAAGGGGGTGTTTGCGGCCGAGGCCGACGTGCATCATTCTGTGCCTGGTGTCAGTCGCTTCTCAACCAGCCAGACCGCGGGAAGGGGGGGAGCTACGTACCCAACCTTGTCGAGGTATTCCCAGAACTCCATCTTGCTCGGGTCGGAACAAAGCTTGGCCAGGTACGCCCGGAGGAACATCTTGCGGTGCAGGATCTGGGGCGAGTTGTCGTCGGGGATCTCGTCCATGGGGCCCTCGAAGCTGGTGGAGCGGGTGGTGAAGGCGCGGGCGGTGATGTCGTACTGCAGCAGCTTGTGGTAGACTATGTTGACGACGGCGGGGATCAGGGCCTTGACGTATTTGGCGCCCGAGATGAGTGCCTCGATGTCCTCTGGTTCTCGTTAGTGTGTTTTTCTCAAACGGAAGAAAATTCAGGAGGGACGCACTGCTGCTAAAGTCGAGGAAGCTGTGGAGGTAGCGGATGCGCGCCTCGAGGTCTGTGTACAGCTCCTCGCGGTCGATGTGGTTCATGTGCCTCATGAGCCCCATCGTGACGGTTGTTGCTCTGGCGAATATGGTCGATCTGCAGCTGAGTGTTTTCTTCGGTCAAAGTTGACTAACAGTCGTTATTCTCGTTGTCGTCAATGTAAATTAGACAAGACAACTCGATCAAGATATGATGTGTATTTCAACAACACCGATGGCCGTTCGTCGTTGGTAATGCGTGAAATCCGAATGGCTCTCACCCGTCCATCCCACGCAAAGACGAGAAAAGGGACCCCGCGATATTTGAACAGAGGGCTCCTCGGTCCCTGCGGACAACAGCCGCATGGTTTCCTGCGTCATCATGCGCCGAGTCGCGCTGGATGAGCCGATTTCTGGTGCGTCGTGGTGTCTGCGGTCGACGGGCTGAGAAACCGACTGATGGTGGTCTGATTATGTTGCCTGAGCAAAAGTCGCACCACTCGCGCCGCTCCACTGGTACGCAAGCCCCTTGACCTGGCGGCGGGACCCACCGCAGGAGGGTTATGTGGGGATCATGTCGGAGCCGGGGCCTGGCCGCCGGGTGCCGGTCGTTGGCGCCCCCCTCCCCGGATGTGACCGTAAATGCCCGAGTGCAAGGATGGTTTCCGACGTGTCGACTGGTTCCAGGTTTCCGCACCTTTTGCTCATGTTGGCTGCGCTGTAAATTGTCTGGGGAGATTGGCAAGGATAACGACAATGGCATGCCGCTTCTCAAGCGTCTGATTCCTAATACATCATCGCATCATGCATGGTTGCTCATGCACAGAAATTCTTTGACATTCTGATGGAGAAGCAATCCCATTTCCAAACACGAAATGAGTGATGCTTGGTATATGGCGCAACCATGTTCCTTTCTATGCGCCAAACAACCAAATCCATCCAGAGCTAGGTTGACAAAACACAGTAGTTTCTGGCGTGGATCACCCCTACTCCCTCTTTCCACTCGCCGCCAACGATGCCTTCGTAGCATCATCGCTGACATCACCCCTGTCTCTGTCTTCGCCTTGGTCATCCTCCTCCGAATGCTGCCTCGTAGTCTTCCGGTGGATGTCAAAGTCCAGCGTCCTCTGCGCAGCCGCGCGCTCCCTGTCCGAATTAGCCTCGCTGTTAGCCAGGGCCCGCAGCACATGAGGCGGGACGAAGCTCCCGGGGCGCGGAGCGTAACGTCTCTGTGCATCCGCATTCCCCGAGCCGTGCATGCCCTCCGCCGCGCTTGACTGGCCCTTGTGATCCTTGGTCCCTCCCCCCTCTTCCCCCATCTCACTCGCATGCAACTCCATCTGCACCTCGGCAGGCTCCATGTTCTTCTGCGCCATATCTCGCTGGTGTCCAGGTGTGTTGACCGGGACGTTGAGTGGACGATGCCTTTCTGCAGGTGGGGTGAGACAGTGGTCACGGTGGGCGATGGAATAATTCCTGTCTCATTAGGTTTTTGGATGGCGAGTTGGCGATACTGTTTCTTGGTGTTTTGTATTTGCGCAATGATGACGGCAGTGCTATGCTTAAAGTTCCAGCAACGTAATGAGGAGGGGTGTGGGAAGAGAGAATCCGAGAGGGTGAGACGGTTTACACGCGGCCTTAGGTAATCACTGCCGTCCACTCACAGTTGGAGATGAAGTAGGACGTTGTGCTTATCGTCAGCTTCCTACCGTTGCTCATTCACTTCAGGCGGGATCTGAGTAAGACTCTTCAAGCATATCGGAACCACGAGAATGGGTTCAAGTTGGCGGGCATACATGTATGTATGCGCATCGGGTTTTGCGGGAAGTGTCATGGGGCTGGCCGAAGTGGTCGTTCCAAAGGTCATGAGAGTTAACTTTGTAACCCGACCAGCCAGCCCACCAACAAAAGTCCTTCGGCCTCAAACCCGGTGGAGGTAGGTCTCGGAAGGTAGCCTCAGGACTCAATGCCATGGTCCTAAAATATCCCTCTCCGTTCGGCCCTCAAATCTGACGCCAGCATCTCTCCGCCTCTCGTCTCACTCTAGACAAGCTTTGTAGAGGCTCGTCTCTTGACTCAGGCGAGAAACTTCCAGAAGCGGGCTGAGATAACATGCCATTCACTACTTGTGAGGTACGAGTATCTAGTTCTAAGAAACATCCGATCTCTTGGCATCCATGCATCATCCATGGCTTCCAAGCGCACCCAAATCTGGCCCCTTACCACCCACGCCAAGTTCCATTACGCCTTAACAGACACAGTCCCGTCCGTCCCAGGCCTCGGCGCCCCCGTCGCCTTCTCCCCCATGAACCCGCCCGAGACCAACCTTAGCGCCGTATCGAACGGGTCGCCGCCCGCCTTGGTCGCCGCCGGTAGGCCCGCCGCCTCGAACGCCTGCGCAAAGTCCTTCTTGATATCCTCGAATCCTTCGATGCCCACTGACACGCGGATCAGGTCAGGCGTCACGCCGCCCTTGATCTTCTCCTCGTCGGGGAGCTGCTGGTGCGTCGTCACCCACGGGTGGATGATGAGCGTCTTTGCGTCGCCGACGTTGGCGAGGTGCGAGCAGAGCTTGAGATTGTCGACGACGGAGCGGACTTGGTCGATGTTTCCGGCCTAAAGGGGCTGTTAGCGTATATAGTCGCATCGAGGGTTTATACAGTGGGTACTCACGACACCGAATGTCAGCACACCGCCGGCGCCATTTGTGAACACCCTCTTAGTGTACTCGTAGTCCGGGTGTGACTTGAGACCCGGGTAGAGCACCCAGTTGACGCTCGGGTGTGCCTCGAGCCACTCGGCCAGCTTCTGCGTGTTCTCCGAGTGCCGCTCGCCTCTCAGCGCGAGTGTCTCCAAACCCTGGAGCAAGAGCCACGCGTTGAAGGGGCTCAGGCACGGTCCCAGGTCACGCATGCTGTCCATCCGCACCTTGGCCGAGAGCGCCTTGTACCCGTACGTGTCCCAGAACCTCAGACCGTGGTAACCGTCCGCCGGCTCCGTGAAGCCGGGAAACTTGCCCGAGGCGCTCCAGTCAAAGTGACCGCCGTCAACGACGATGCCGCCCATCGACGTGCCGTGGCCGCCGATCCACTTGGTTGCGGAGTGGGTGACAATGTCGGCGCCCTGCTTGATGGGCTGGCAGAGGTATCCGCCCATGCCAAAGGTGTTGTCCACAATGAGCGGGATGCCGTGCTTGTGCGCCACATCGGCGATGGCCTGAATGTCGGGGACGCTATGCTTCGGGTTGCTGATCGTCTCAATGTAGACGCACCGTGTGTTCTCGTCAATGGCCGCGTCAATGTCGGCGGGCTCGTTGCCGACAACCCACTTGACGTCGATCTTGAACTTTTTCATGTACACTCGGAACTGGTTGTAGGTGCCGCCATACAGCCAGCTGGTGCTGACAAAGTTGTGGCCGGGCTCGCAGCACTGCGTCAGGGCCATGAACTGCGCGGCGTGGCCCGAGGACGCTGCAACGGCGCCGACACCGCCCTCGAGCATCGCCATGCGCGACTCGAAGACGCTGTTGGTCGGGTTGCCCATGCGCGTATAAACATATCCGTCCTTGCTCCATGCAAACTTGCTGGCGCCATCTGCGATCGGGGTCAGTGTCAAGCATGGCGTCACGAGCACAAGGAGGACTGACCAGCAGCGTCGGTGAAGTTGTAAGCAGCCGTCTGGTACAGAGGGACAGCACGAGAGCCGTTGACAGGGTCGGGCTCCTGGCCACCATGGACGGCAACCGTGGAGAAGCTCGGCTCCCTAGGTAGCAACCATTGTGTCAGCGCCTGGTAATGCAAAAGCCGATCGGGATCCTCTCACCAGTCCACGTTGCTCAAAGACCCGGAGACAGGCATCTTGAAAGACTAGTATAACAGTTTGAGAGGGGTAATATTCTAATATCGTGATTCAGTTCCTGATCCAATTCCAGATGATCTGCTGACACTGTCGCTCCAGCTTGTGTCATCTTATCATGGCAAACCCAATATCTTAAATGTTCCTCAACGCCATCCAAGACAGCTCCATCACTTCGTTTCAAGTCGTTCGATACCCCTCAGCTCGATGCAGGGATAGTGGCAAGTTGCGGATCGGAGTTGCTCGATATCCGGTCTTTGCTGATAAAAGAGCAAACCCCGCAACCCTCCCCCTTCTTTACGCCCGTCCCCGGGACTCCACTCAGAGCCCGCGTCCAGATCCCATAAGAATCCCGTCGGAATGTCGTAAAGTCCGAGCCGCAGGCGAACTGCAGGCACTGCAGGGGATCCTGCAGGCGTACCGCAGATAGATTGGGGACAAGCTGGAGGTAAATTGCGGATCGGGCCATTTCTAGACCGGAGTGTCAAACATCATGGTGGGTTCGATTACGCTCCGGATTTGGTCTGCAGCAGGACGTCAGCATGCAAGGCATCGAACAATGTGATGCCGAGATTGAGGGGTTACTTACCGCGCATCCCGCCAAGTGCCTCAAACGCCGTGGCATAGTTCTCCAACGTTGCCGATATGGAGGCCAACCCCGTCTGTAGGCGGATCAGAAGGCTTTCCACCATCGGCGTGGCCAATGCGTTCTCCGGGTACATTGCTTTGGTCTTGTGGTTGACCATTAGCAACGCGTAAGCGCACTGCATGGCGCAACAAGCGAACGAGGGCATGGTCCTCGGACACACAATAGTCGAAGTGGGTGCCAGATAACATGGTGCAGGGCACAGCTGGCCAAATGGGTTGGGATACGGAAGGTCGTCAAAAGACTGAGCAATGTTGATCGCCGCCTTCAGACAGATTTTGGCAGACTGGTGACTACTGAAGGGGAAAGCGGCCGGCGAGTTGCCATTGGGCGAATGTTCCGAGTGAGGGGATTTCTTGTCTGGCGGCGTGGTCGATCCGTTTGATGCGGCCACTGGTGGTGATGGCAAACTCATCATGGAGCTGCAGGAGCATGACGGCCAGGACCGCGGTTCCCCGCTGCCGTCGTTGTCAGATTTGGACTTGAGGTCGCAGTGCTTCCCCGAGAAGACCGGCATATCAAAGAACGCGCAGTATCGGTGCAACTTGATTCGCGCACTGATTGTTGTCAGCAATGGTTCCCAGATCCGGAAGGATATTCGTGTACTTGCCTGTTGAGCTTGATGCGAGCCATACACCTCAAAGAGCGGGACAGGACTTCCTCCGTAGGATCGAGTGGCGTTGTCGTTGTCGACTGCAGGATCCAGGAGTCGGCCATCGCGTTGAGGGGCTCAAGGTACTGCTCCATCTCCTTCATCCGCGCGTAAATGCGCGTCATGTCACCCCCAGATTTAACAGTCTTATTGAGCTCAATGACAAACTGGGTTGCCGAAAGGATCGCTTGCTGGGCTTGAATGTACACAGCAAAGGCCTGGGCAAAAGTCAGTCCTGGCCCGAGGGTACTAATCTAGTCGACACCTACCTCGGGGTCTGATTGTATTACGGGGTATTTTGCTGTGTAGCTGGGTGTAAACACGGAGAAGGTTGGCTCCTCGGCCTAAGTCAGTTTGCGCTTCCTGAGATTGGGAGAAGAAAGCATACCGTATTACTGACGATGGACCCCTGACAGACGCAAATGTACTACATACACCGTTAGCCACGCGACCCTTCAGGCGGAGCATGGGAAGAAACACACCGTCATCCACCATACTCTCCGCTTGGCCTCGGAAAACTCGTCATCCTCGGTGCAGGTGTGAAGAGACAATGACATAGCGGACACTAGGGCCTGGCCGGCCCTAGCCTGCATCTTCTTCAGGTTACCCCTCTGCGCGTACTCGTAGACGCTGAGAATGTCCAAGGCGACGATACTCTCGAGCTCTATTGGCACGCCGGGATGGAACTGCTGCCTGGTGAAGTCGTCGGGGGATTCGTTTAGTGCCTTTGGCGGCTCGATCGAAGAGTCCGGGATTTCCGACTCGATTTCGATACTCTCGACGGCACATTGGGCCAGGTACTGGGCATATCTTCGTCGGAAGACAACGGACTCCTTGTTGAGATGGTTGGTATCATTGGCGCACGGAATTAGTGCAAGAATTGCAGAGATGGCCAAGCTGAGTGGTGTCGATGGCTGATACTCGTCGGCAAAGCCGTCCGTGTCGTTCTGAAAGTGTGGCACGGCCTGGTCCATTGGCAAGCCGGCGGGCGGCGGCAGGATCGGGAAGAAAGGGTGGATGAAGATGTAGTAGGCATCGAGGCTATTCGACCATGAGCACTTGGTGGCCCAGACGTCGTGGGGCGACGATACTTACATGGCTTGGTCGCTCTTGTAGGTTCTCGCAACGGGGATTTGAGGCGCCGGAAAGTTGAACGAATGCTCCGAGGCACTCTCGCCGCTGGTGCTCCCGGGCACGCCCGACATGAAGAGGGTGTCAAAGATGAAGTCGCTATCCTGAAAGAAGTCTTGCAGCTGCTTCAATCCCGCGCCGGGATCAATGTAGTTTTGGACAGAGATGGCTGTGGCCTCGGTCAAGAACTGATCCGACTCGGTTCTCAAGCGCAATGACTCACGGTCTTGATGGGCAACTTCGTCAGGAGGCATCTCGCCATTAAAGGCCTGGGCCTGCTGGGCTAGCTCGTCGGCCGGCCGCGGCTTTCTCCTCACGCGAGCGCCGCCTCTTCGGCTAGGCTTGTAGACGCATTCGCGCCCTCTACTTTTGCACTGCACCGCGTCAGCCACGCTTCCATGCCGCAACGGGGTCGGCGTTGTGCCGTGCTGGACAGATGCTTACACTAGCACATGGGGTCGATCCGTCACACCGTGTTCGCGATGCTCGACTATCTACGTGTGAGCTACAGCTCGAGAGCGCGACGCAAGGTGCAGATGTGCCATGGCGGCGAGTTCGGGCACAGAGCACAGGAGAGCCAAACAGTCGACCATCAACAACGACTAGGGAGTAGAGAGACATACCAGGCAAGGCAGGCAATCTTGACGGGAGGCGTCGCAAACTTCTTCTTGGCTGCGGAGGCCGGGATCGGGGGTGCCACGGCTTCCGTCATGGTGCTCATGGCCGAGTGGGCTGACGACGCTATACGCACAAGATGGATTAAGGATGACCGTCTTGGCCAGAGACAGACGGAAAGGCGGCGGGGGACGAGACGAGGTGGCCAGCAATCCTTCCCGGGCGGATCGGGGTCTGGCACACGGAGCGGGTGGCGGCAGCGGAGACCGGTTTAGCTCAGTTCGGCCCAGCTCTTTTACGAGGGCTCTTGGTCGGCGTGGCGAGGCGGCGCCTGGGTTAAATCGAAACAGAGCAGCGAGCACGCAGCCGGTGGTCTCGAGAGGTGGGGGATACGTAATAAAGTCAAAGGAAAGCCGTGGGAGCTGCGGGTGAGCGAGTGAGTGAGTAACGGGAGGTGTGGGCGTGGATGACTAGCAGCTGCCGTAGCTACGCAGCGGCCGAGCCGGAGATTGGGAAAGGTCAGGTCAGGTCAGACCAGACCAGGCCAGGCATGGGCAGGATGATTAGGACGGGTGTGAGAGCGAGAGGTGGAGGGTGCCAGCTGCAAAAAGGGGGGCTTGGCCAATTTCGTCAGCTGGTGTAGATGCAGAAGAGTCGCAGATTTCGGTCGCAATGGTCGTCGTTTGTTTGTCGCGTGTGGTGGGTGCAAGTGCAAGTGCAAGTTGCAGAGGTGGATGCGAGTGCAGGTACAGGTGCAGGCGCAGGCGCGGGCAGGTCCGTCGATGCGCGCGCGCAAATGGTTGGGGGTTGTGTTTTTTTTGGTGCAGAAGCTGTGTTTGCTTGCAATCGGCGACGGAGGGGCAAAATGCGGCGACCGGGAGGGATTTGTAATGGGAAAGGCGACGGCGGACGTGGAGCATTTGGCCGACAGGGAAGGTGGGGGAGAAGAAGAGAGAGGAAGCGAAGATGCGGATCGTTCGATCGTGGCCGGGCCAGAGCGACCAAAACGGGCAGCAGCGACCAGCAGCCAGCAGCTAGCAGCTAATTAGTACCAGCTCGAGGGGAAGTTCTCTTTGGGACTTTTTATTTCTCTTTATTTTTCTTCTTCATTTTCATTATTTTTTTATTTTTTTAGCCTGCCCTGACCTTCACCCGTGTGGTACCTACCTAGCTAGAGAAACGTAAGTATGCAGTGCAGTATAGTGAGTAAGTGCACTTGTGGGGGTGTCTGCGCCCTCCAGGGCTGTTGTCTCTGTCCTTGTGCTCCTCCCTTCTGCTCACTTCGGGAGTTGAAATGGAGAAGCTGCATCCCGGGGGTGGAAAGCATAAGTGGGCTTCGGTATGGATACGGATCTTGGGTAGAGGACAGAGTTGGCCAATCGCATTGTGGCATTGTCGTAATCCCTAGCAGGTCCCAGCTGGGTACGTACCGCCCACTTGGCCCATTGGCAACACCTGTACACAGTGTGGCAGCTGGCTGGACCCATCCTCGAACAGGGGGATATTACTATGCATGTCCGGCACACTTTTGGGAAATGGCACAGTGGACAAGGGGTTAAGGCTCATCCTCATTCTCATTCTCACTCATCCTTATCCTCATCTTCCTCTTAATTACCAGACGGAGTACTCCTCCGCCTCCTTCGGCCTGCTTCGGTTTCGCTTGTTCGGCGGCTTCTGCAACCCTTGCTTCCTCACACACCTGAGGTGACGACGGTTCGGCACCGTCTTTCCCCTGCGCCCCTTGGCACCGTGTCCGTGCCTGCCTGGTGCGGCCCTGCCGTCTCCAACCTGGCCGACCCCGACCCCGAGTTCAACCAAACTCAACTCATCCTTATCATCATGCCATCCAACGCTACGCCTGGACATGCTTGCTCTCTCTCTTTCTAGACCTGACGACTGTGACCTGACTTTGCTGCCACCAATCGACGTCGGACCTCCTCCGGCCTCACCCCAATTGAGTAACACCAACTTACTAGTAGCTACAACCTCGGCCCTGCAGCAGAAGCTAGGCGTCGACTCAAGAACTCGGCACACCATCGGACACGGACAACACACTCCGATATCACGATTCGTTTTTTCTTGCTGCCTCACACGATCAAAGACGGGGGCGCACCAGCCTTTGGCCAGCGTTGGGATCTTACAGCAGCACTTGGTATCTCTATCAACTCGCGTCTGTCATGCAACGAAGCTTCGCTTGCCATACTCTGTAGGTGCTGGACTTGAGATGACATGCCATGATGTTGTTGGAACCCGACCAATTGACGATTCGAGATCCAACTCGTCGCCAGGTTGGTCAACTTTCAACAAAAACAGTCTACTCTGGTCTGTGTAACGCGACACGCCCTAACAAGATGGGACGCAATGGCAGGGCACAGCAACCCCGCCCTACCTAAAGTGCCGTCAAACGTTGTACATCACAACCCCCTTGGACAAACACGTTCGCCTGCACCTTGTCCAAAGCTTCTCGAACTTTGATGCGGCCAACCAGCTCCGTTACCGTTGCCACACCGTGGAGGTATCGGGGCCTGCCTCTCGTTGCAATGCAGACTCACAAACACGCTGCCGCTGAGTCAGGTCCCATAAAACTCAGGGGACTCAGGCTCCATCCTGGCTTCTCCGCACGGCACCCCACTGGCGGTTCGCTCCATTGGCTTCCACCACTCTCATCCCCCCCCCACGCAACGCCGGCGCACCGCCGCCTCTGCCTCAGCGGGTGAATACAACGTTGGTGCCGGGCTTGGTGTTGACTGTCAACGAACTAGACAACCTGTCAGCTTTTGATCGGCGACGATCCAGGCCCCCTTGGCACGTCGCGCATCCTAGTCATGGCCACCACTTACAAGACATCGGGCCGGGAATAACTGCCGACTGGGTCAAAGTCGAGCTGTCCGCGCGATTAGTGTAGGACCAACCAGTGGGGAAATGCAGCTCGTGCGGAACGGCCTACCCTTGACTCCGTGAGGTCTGTCATCCTGAGGTCGGCATAGATGATGGTCTCCTTGTCCCACACCGGCTCGGCAAGAAATGTCCCCAGCGGTCCAACAATGCATGAGCCTCCGTGGTTAACAATGTCATCCGCTTCCCATTGGCCTCCGTCCGGACGCCGGTCAGGGTGTTCGGCCGTGAACGGCGGGTAGTCGGACGGAAAGTCTGACACCTTGCACACCGAGTTGACCGATATAACAAAGCAACGTCCCTCCTTGGCAATGTGCTGCATTGACGCTATCCATGACGGCAAGTCATCCGCGTGCGGCGCGACGTAAATCCTGTAGACGAGTTGGCCAACGTCAGCGGCAGCCAAGCTTCCCGACACATGCGCACGTCGACTCACTCGATGCCCTGTTGGTACAAGGCCATGCGGGCCGCCGGCATGTAATTCTCCCAACTGCGTTTTACATCAGCATCGTGCCGCCCTGCGCCCTCACGGAGCGACCAACCAGATGAGGCTTCCGATCTTTCCAACATCCGTCTGCAATACCTGAAGGCCATCGCCGGAGCCTCTTCCCCATACGAGACGTTCGGCCGCCGTCGGAATTAACTTGCACATGTCAGCTTTTAGCGACCAACTCACGTGATTGGCGGCATTACCTTGCGATGCTTGTACACAATCTTTCCCTCGCGGTCGAGAAGCAGCGCAGTACAGTACAGCGTGCCGCCTGCTTTTTCTATGATTCCGACTTGCAAGAGAACGTTGTTTGCCCTGGCTATCTCGCAGAGCTTTTCGAAAGCGGGAGAGGGCACTTCGACAGCCGAATCAAAGTACTTGGCGAACCATTGGCGCCCTGTGATAGGTCAACTCCGCCTTCCACCATGAAATAATCCTGGAAATTACCTCTTGGCTCTCGGGCACCAATTGTCGTATCAAAAGAATATCGCCATGGGTACGCAGACAAGAAAGCTTCCCTGTGATATTTCAGCAACTTCAACAAGAGAGACCTAGTGTTACTGTGTACTTACGGGAACACCACAAGGTCCGCACCAGCCGCTGCAGCTTCCTCTGTTAGCTTACTCAGCTTTTGCAGGCTCTTTTCCAGGTCAAAGGAGACGGGAGCAGCTTGCACAGCCGCAACTTTGACAATGGAACGAGTAGATGCCATTTTGATCATGTGTAAAGCCTGAACTCGGATGGCCAGCAAGCGCATTCTGCAAACAACGGCGGATTTTAAGGTGTTCCCCGCGAGGACATAATTCGAGTCATAGCTACGCCGCCCAAAAGGTCCAACTGCATTCATTGTTCTCATTGGATGGTCTGACAATCCTTCGATATCGCCCAGGCCGGCGTCTGCAAAATGCGGGATGCTCCGGGAACATGATTTACCGATTTCACGCTGTCTGGGGCTTTGGACTTATGGCTCAAATCCCGGCCCCTCTTCAAAGCCCGGTGATAACGGAACTAGAGCGAACAGTCTTTTGACAATCCCGTCATCGAGAGATGATAGGGATATGCTAGATGATTGACCAGACACGTCTTGGACTCTCGACGCAAAATCGCCGAAACGCAAGGTCATGCTGTGATGTTTGGGAGGTGGGGGTAACTTCAGCTTCATAGGCCCATGATGGCTGATGAGACTTCCTTCCGCCATGTCCATCCATTAAAAACGTATTCCGAACAGGTGTTTGGCACCTCTAGATGCTCGGAACAATTCAAAACTGGTCTTGTTCATTAAGAGTGCCAGACCGTCCCCGAAGAATGTGATAGGCAACTTCATCCAGCATTGGAACACGACTTATCATTAACAACTCTGCACGATTCTGTTCTCATCTAGTTTTGGACATCTCTCCCAGCTTGTAGTCGACATTCTAGTACGGCAAGTACTTCCTCCAGATTTCAAAACTCAGTACAACCATAGAATGGCTCTACGTACGCTATTACTCATACCAAATGCGCTGCCACCTTCTGACCTTGCAACAGTGCTTGACTCCAATCCAAACCCAACCAACTTCTACGCACGCCTCATCCGCAACCAACGTTTCGCCGCCATCCAAAGGTTTCAACTAGAGTCTGGGGAGTTGCTCGCGGACTGTCCCGTGGCATACAGGACATGGGGGAAGCTCAATGACAGCGGCGACAATGTCCTGGTCGTATGTCACGCTCTGACTGGGAGTAGCGATGTGAGCGATTGGTGGAGCCCTCTTATTGGACCTGGAAAAGCCTTTGATCCCCGGCATTTCTTCATCTTCTGTGGGAACGTGCTTGGCTCTCCTTATGGAAGTGCATCGCCATTGACCATCAACCCGGACACTGGCCGATCATATGCGAGCCAGTTTCCTCAAACAACCATTAGAGACGATGTCAAGGCTCACAAATTGGTGCTTGATGCCCTCGGCGTCAAGTCAATTGCTGCCGTCGTCGGTGGGTCTATGGGCGGCATGACGACTCTCGAGTGGCCTCTTTGCGCACCTCCTGGATTCGTCCGAAACATCATTCCAATCGCTACTGCTGCTGACCATTCCGCTTGGGGCATTTCCTGGGCCGAAACTCAGCGGCAGTGCATCTACTCCGACCCTAAGTTCGACGACGGATATTACGAGCCGACACCCGAAGGTCAACCATCAGCGGGACTAGCTGCTGCTCGAATGATTGCCATGTTAACGTACCGGTCTTGCACGAGCTTCGACAATCGCTTCGGGAGAAAACCACCCCGGCCTCCATCTAAGCCCCAAGAACCCCTTTTGGACCTCCCTAGAACAGAAGTACTGCCAAGGGGAATGCAGAGCCACGGCGGAAATGAAATTGCACAGCGAAAACAAGATCCCTCCTTTTCCGCTCAAGGATACCTGCACTACCAGGGGGAGAAATTCATCAAGCGCTTCGACGCCAACTGCTACCTGCACATCACCAACAAAATGGACAGCCACGACGTTGCTTACGGCCGGGCGCAGGGTTCAGGCGACGACGGTCTGGCGCAGGTGTTGTCCAGCGTGCCTTCGGGAGCACTGGTCATCAGCGTCGAGACCGACGCACTATTCCTACCAGAGCAACAAGAGCGCCTTGCCGCCCACCTTCCGGGGGCGTCGCTGTCTGTGCTGAAGTCCTCGGATGGGCACGACGGCTTCCTACTCGAGTTCGAGCAGCTCGATGTCTTGATTCAGTTCCACTTGCGCTCCAAACTGCCGGATCTGTACACTGTGACGTACGACTCGAACGAGTCTCCGAACTCCGACACAAACATTGCAGCAGGCGGGAGTCTGACAGGAGAGCTTGAAAGTTACTAAAATTGCCTAGTCAGGCACAAGCATGTTGAATCCCGAAGCACTAGACTCGGATAAACGGAACGCCTAGTAGCTGGCCTTGATCTCGGATAAGTGGGCGGCAGTACCACCTGTCGAGTTTTAGGAGAGGAAGTCTCGAATCTACTCATTTCACTCACCGTAGTAGAAGGCAAGATAAATGATGATTTCTAATTTACGTACATAATTTCCACGGTCAGGTACAATTTAAAGTAATCCTTGGTTTGACCTGTAGCAAGGAAGCTTTGGAAACATTTTGCGCAACCCGATTTTTCCATGCGTGATCTCGCGGTTTACGAAAAGGGCTCGTGGGTCAAATTGGGACACACACATTGGCAACAGTGCGTTGTTTTCTTCCTGTTAGCCGGTCAACTGTCGCCTGCCGCCATGTTCTTTTATTCTGGTCCAGGGATATATCGGGTTTGGACCGTTGTATGTCAAACATATATCCTTACATTTGCCATCTGTCTATGCCCCAACTAGGAAGTGCAGCCGCCCGCACGCTGTTGCTTCGCAGCGGCGTTATAATAAGTTTCGAAATTTGTCTTAGTGTGTCAACTCTACGACACTAGGCATGCCACTGTGACACTGCAGTATGGGTTCGACCTGCGATCTAAAAAGAACCCTTGGCTGATACTCCTGCACGTTTCTTGCTCAAAGAGATGGAATGAACCGAATACGATGGAAGGGATTGGACGTCTGAACTCTCTTTCAGTTTTTTTTCTTCTGGAGGCCATCGGATTGGGCATTGGCATGAGAAACTCCCGAGGCGTTCGGATCGTCGACACAAAGGCACTTCGCCTTTAGTCACCCACGTTGCGCCCACACAAGTCCAACATCCCACAACGACGCCAAAACTCTGGCAGGGAATCTTGCACCACACTTTGGCGCCGAAGCAGGCTTGAAAACGTCATTACAAAACGTAGGGATCCCCTCTCGTTTGGCGCAGTTCCCGAAGGGAGCGAAATCTCGTCGTTCCAAAGAAAGTGGCCTATTTGGTTCAAATCCCGAGCCGGGATTTGGCCAACGATCGTGCAGCATTCACCGACGGCCAAACTCCGCCGTGCCCGAAAAGCATCGCCAATGACAGCGGCCGTCAGGCCCGAGATGGGAACTGGACGCGTAGGAAATACCTACGATTTCTCAATGGCCGTTGACCGAACGAGGGTCCCGCGACGTCGCCGAATTCGACCGCCTCGGACACCACCTACCGTCGAGCTCCCCCTCGCCGCCCGCCATGGTCTACGGTTCGCTCTTCGAAAAACCTGTTGACTGAATCCTCGCCAGCCGGAATCGACGATATATGGAGTCCAATAAACCGAGTCACTGAGCGCCCACCAGAACCGAACGCGAAGGCCCACCGCTGCCGCTTGACTGACTCTGCGCCGTCCGCGCCAACAGGATCACCGCTCCCGTCCGCCGTTCGCCCATTCCCACAGCCCACCATGGAATGTGCCAAGAACAACAGGCCGTGGCTCGTCCAGAAGTATGGTGGTACGAGTCTGGGGAAGCTCCTCGAGTCGATCTGCAGCAAGATCATCCCATCTCACCTGCGAGACTACAACCTCGTTGTTGTGTGCTCGGCTCTCTCGGGTTCCACCAAGGCGAGCGGCACCACAAGTCTCCTGCTCGAGTGCATAGCTCATGCTGAGGCTGGTCTGTCGGCCCAGGCGCAGCTAAACAGGACCATCGACGCCGTACGGGATGGCCATGTGCGGCTTCTCGAGAAGCACCTCGTCAACTCCAACGGGACGAGGAGCGATCTATGCCACGACATCTTCGACACCACCAAGACCGTCATTGTCAAGGAGTGCGAGAGCCTCCGCCGGTTCCTGCTGGCGGCGCAGATCATCGGGGAGCTGTCCCCCAGGGCGCAGGACCGCGTCATCTCACTCGGGGAGAAGCTGGCGTGCAGGGTCGTGGCGGCGTTCCTCAACAGCAAGGACGTCCCCGCCGAGCCGGTGATCCTCGAGGACATCATTGAATCCGTCTTCGGGAGCAGCGTCTTTGACCAGAAGACGGCGCTCGACGGCCTCGGCCCCAGGTTTTACCACCTCGTCGCGGACGAGATCGCTAAGCGGATACGCGGCTGCGGCGACTGTGTCCCCATCGTCACGGGCTTCTTCGGCATCATGCCTGACTCGCTGCTCAAGTCCGTCGGCCGCGGGTACTCGGACCTCTGCGCCGCCATGTGCGCGGTCGGGACCGAGGCGGCGGAGCTGCAGATCTGGAAGGAGGTGGACGGCATCTTCACGGCGGACCCGAGAAAGGTCCCCTCGGCGAGGCTGCTATCGACCGTCACCCCTGAGGAAGCGACGGAGCTGACATACTACGGGAGCGAGGTCATCCATCCCCTGACGATGGACCAGATACGCTGCGCCAACATCCCGCTGAGGCTAAAGAACGTCTTCAATCCGACTGGCGCGGGCACCATCATTTACCCGACGCGGACGCCGTCGCCGCCTCTCACGCCGCCCACGCCGACGGACGAAAAGGTCGACGTGAAGGTGCCGCTCCCCACCATTGACTTCATGCTAGGGAACGGGTACCACGGCGCGCAGCAGGAGCGGCGGCGGCCGACGGCCGTCACCGTCAAGGACGACATCTTACTGGTCAACGTCGTGTGCAACAGGAACACCAAGTCGCAGGGGTTCCTCTCGGGCGTCTTCGACCGGCTCGAGGACGCGGGGATCCAGACGGACCTCGTGACGACGAGCGAGCGGAGCGTGAGCCTCGCGTTTCAGCATTCAGAAGAAGGTTCGTGTCGGCAGCAGCGGTTGCGAGTCGAGTTGGAGAAGTTTGGAAAGGTGAGGCCCGGCCCCCGGAGACCTGGTGCATGCACGATGTAAGAGTACGCTGACGTGCAGCAAGGTCGTCATCACGGAGAACATGTCGATTGTGACCGTCGTCGGGCACAAGATGCGGAACATGGTAGGCATTTCGGCAGAGATCATGGGCGCGCTGGCGTCGGCGAAGATCAACATCTTCATGGTCAGCCAGGGTGCGAGTGAGATTAACGTGTCGTAAGTATACCTCCTCTCTCTTTCCATCTCTCGCGGTTGCGAGTTCGTTACGGGGTAAACATTGACCATCGATGCAAACAGGCTCGTCGTCCGCGCCGAAGACGCGGTCATCGCACTCAACGTTATCCACAGCAAAGTCCTCCGGATCCCGACGCATTGGGAGCAAGAGAACAACTTCATCAAAGGTGCGGAGGCCCGCCGCAGCGACGTTGTCGCCCGAGACCCCCTGTCGAAATGCATGTACCAGCCGCCGCTCACACATACTCCCAGGTCCCTGGCTTTACTGATGCAGCGGAGGCATGGCCTTGCCGCGTACCGTATCGGCGGACCGGGGTTCTTGGATGATGGGGCCTATGGCCATATTGGGAGGTGGGTGAGGAGGAGGAGGCAGGCGTAGCAAGGCTTGGAAGGACGGATGACATTTGGGAGATTGGTGCATGGCATTTATCGGAGTCCAATGGGGAGTCGTAGAATGTTGCCTTTTTTCGTTCCAAGATATCAACGTGGTTGTATCACTATTATAGCACGCAGCATACAGTTGAAGCCACAGACGGCAAAGTCAGCGTTGATGGAAACAAGAGCCCACAGCCCGTCAGTTGCCAGCCTAACTTTAAATCTGTTCCCATCCCGTGGCCTGTCTGGTTCTCAAGAAGGGGGGTCCCGCCTCGGGAGAACCAGAAGTAAAATGTGTTACGCGCGACGGCTGGGGCCTGGTATACGTCAAGATGACAGTTGGTCAATAAACTTTGTAGCCGTTCGACATGGACATAAGCTTGACATAGATTTATGGGGCTGGACTACGGATCAACAAAGTATACATTATTCGTGAATATGAACTTAGAATAAATCGGTGAACAGGATCGTGACATCATTACTTTGATATGAGCTCTAATCTGCCAGGGTGTGGCAGTTTATCTTTCGATCTGATCTACCTTGCTTTATGCAGTTTGGTGACTTCTGGAAACCGCAGGGCCACGGAAGCTGAAGTTATTGCCCAGTTTCATCTACCGAGGCCTTTTCTATTTCCTCCTAGGGTAACCTTAATACCTTGGCTTGAGTATCAGCGGCATGTCAAAAAGAGACATAGCAACCAAGATAGCACGGAATGAGCCAGCCAAGCCCAGCACGACGACGAAGCCGGAGCAACGTGGGGCGTGAAAAGCCTCCTCCTGCGGCGATGGAATGTCCTCACCTCGACTCGATACCTTCTTCGGACTCTTCCCTATCATCTCCCACGCCTTGGCATCTCGCAACTTTTTCGGCGTGTTGGGATCGTAGAGGTCGATGAATGCAGATGCCTCCTTCAGCGCCTTGAGTGATGCCTTGCCCAGAGTTGGATCCCTGCCATCCCTCCGATACGGACGCAACGCCTCGAGTTGGACGGAGTAGCACTGGCGGATGTTGACGTAAGAGTTCTTCTCCAGGGGTGGGCAGTTATCCGGCAGACTGAGTTGGGCGTTGGGCATGGAGGAGTGTGTGGCGGGTTTGATGGGGACATATTCGAGCCAGTGTTGCCAGTCGGGAGTGTGAGATTGAGCTATGCTTCTTGCGCCGAAGGATGTGATCTGCCTTTATGTCAGTCACTGAGTTCGGGGGATGTAGATGGCATTCATCAGGTAAAGCGTTTTCAGCACCATGAATATTCCGACTAGGCCTTCAGGCGATGGGATCCTGGACATGATGACGACCGGGTGGGTGTATGCGCCATCGTCGAGAACAGGATCGATCAGATCAGTGAGGATGTTCTTCTTGCCCGGAAGCCACATAATCTTCCCGGTCAGGCTCTTGCCGTTGGTGCGCTGAAGCGGCAGCTGCAAGCTGGACTCCTTCTTTTTTGCGTCGGCCATCCTTCAAGTCGAATCCTGGACTGAATGCAGTGTGCTAAAGATACAGCAGCTAGCGAGGAGGAACAAGACTGATGGCGCTGTGGAGCCTAGTAATATTGTAAAACAAAAGTGTGGGATTGAAGGTCACTGGTCGAACAATGCGTCGAGTTGGAACTTTCGATGAGGTTTTTGTTGAACAAAACCCTTCATCGAGGAATAGATTTCATTCGCTAATGTGTTGACCATGTCGTTGGTTCGGTTGGTTGACGCCCCGAGCCACAGCCTCGTTGCCAGGCGAAACATTGAGCGGGGATTGGAACTTGGAGGCCAACTTCAGTTAATCAAACATGTGTGCATTAACATGAAACGTTACTTCACTGCCGAGTAATAGAAAGTTGTACGGTTCCGATACCAAATATCTTCAAGTTGCTGTTGGAGTCTTCGTCACAAAGTCAAAGCCCAGACTCATGCTTGGACCGATGGGGTTGAGACGCAGTAAACACCCGATTTTGAGTGAGTGAAAAGAGTCCGTTTATGTTTAAATTCCATACTTGAGCAATTGGAGTTGCTTTCGCTCTGCGCACAACAAAACATGGAAAAGCTACGGTCCTACCGTCAGGAGCAGCCTCTAAGTCTGCAATATAACAACGATTACCCATGTAAACACATGGTGATGATGGCAAAAGCTTTAAATTGACAAAATCCCAAAGAAATTCATCATGATTCTCTACACAATTAAATCTTCTTTTATCTGTCATCCGTGAACTTTTTTTTTAAACCAATCCCATAAAAGCATGAAATGCACAAAACTCCTGTCTCTGTCCAGACCCTCCATGTTTTCGGCTTACCTACTAAGTCGCATGGGATTTCCGGTCTTAATGAATCAACTTTTGTATAAAAAGCGAATTGTTGAAGTAGGGTTCAAGCATTGGGAAGAATAGTTCCGGGATAACCTTTTGAGACCCCGAGCCCCATTGGCGAGAACAAAGCCGAGACACGTGGAAGCTTGCGGCCCTGCCCTAAAGAACTCATCAACCTGTCCGTGTATGCCCCAGGATGCTTTCGATCAAGTTGTCCACGATCCTGAGTGTCTCTCGCATCATATCGATCTGCTCTTGCTGGGTTGCTCTGAAGTCGCTCACTGAGCCGATTCGACCGCTTTCAAAGGCTCGGTTGGCCCTGGCTGCGTAAATGGATTCCAGTAGTGTCTCTTTGATGTGTGAACAACACAGGTCTTCGCAGACTTGTACTTTGTTACTTTTTGTATCAATTTTGTAGTAATGGCCCATTTAACGAACAGGGAGGTGACTTACAAGGCGATAAGAGGTTAAGTTCAATGTCTGAGAAAAGAATAACCCAGATCCTCTTGAAACGTTCTAGGTTCTTCTCCTTTGATTCGTTCGAATTCTTTTTGTATTTCTTTTTCAGGTGCTCTGGTTCGCTGTCAATGCTTTCATTGATGCGTCTCCATTGGGCTTCAGTCATAGACAATTCAGGCTGGCGTTGTGTTTGTCCACGATGGACCCTTTCCAAATGCCGTCTAAAGAAATCCAAAGATTAGCAGAGGCTTGTGGAATCCTAAAAATACAATCGTTTACTCACATTAGATCGGTGAATTCCTTGAAAGAGGTCCGGGGAACACAGCTTCTGGGTGGATCCAAGCATGTGAGACAGTACGGGCAAAGCCAGTGCTTCACTCCTGTCTGTTTGACGCGTGCCCTTTTTGGCTTGATGTTGGTTTGGTTGTCTTTATCGTCGCCTCCTCCATCGCTATTGCTCCCTGTTTGGCCCCTTTTGCGGGTTCTCTTGTCGGGAGGAGATGTCGTCCCTGATGATCTGCTGGATGAACCAGTTGAAGTTGCGAAACTAGATCCAGTTTTGATGCTCTCAGATGAGTCACCGTCAACTAGACCAACGCAATTGTCCCCAAGAGTATCTTCTTCGTTCTCATCGTTGTAGTTCTCGTCTTTGACAGACAAGACGCCATGTTGAACCCCGACGCATGGGCAGCCGTGCCGAAGGACTTGTTGGTTATCCGCGGGAAGGCTTTTTAAGGCGTTGATTACGTCTCCAGCGTAATCTGGCTGTTGCTTGAGTACCGCACGAATTGAAGCATATAAAAGGGCTGTGCGATCGATGCTTCGTGGCCTAGTATTCCTAGTCCCCAATGGCGATTGTGGAGGCTGAACATCGGGAGCCACCAAAGCCTGTTCTGCGGTTTCCTTAGGTCTCTGTGTTCTAGAAGCCAGGAAGGGAAGACATGAGTACTTGGACCAGAAAACCGATAGAGGTGATTTCAGGGACTTACCGCGAAGCTGTTTCGCTATACGGACGATGCGGCAATGATTCTTGGAGTAGAGGTCCGTAACCCTTATTGAAAGCACCGATCTGCCTTGCTGCGAAAGCCTCCTGCCTTGCTCTAGTGTATTCGAAGCTCGTCGTTTTCGCGCGCAAATCGACGGGTATATCGTCAGTGTCAGCTGTCCAACAATGTATTCGCTCGGCTCTTTCCATTTCACCGGCCACTGGGTCCTAACGCAAAGGCGAGTCATCAGCGACTTACTTCAGAACATCTGATTCCGCACAAAGTGGAAAACTTACCCGTTCGGAACCGTACCCAGAATCCCCACCATCAGATCCATTCAAAACTCGCAAAGAAGCCATGATGCAAATCGTCGGCGCACCGTGATCAAGGCTGTCGCCGCTCCACTTACTGCCGCCTCTGCGGGACTGGGCGGCGGAAAATATGGAGGAAACGATCCATCATCTAGCCGGTGGAAACTCATCACACAAATATTTATGTGCATGGCCCGGGTGTCTGGTATAGGACACCACGCGGCCGTCTTCTACGCCGTTGCGGTGATGTTTTTGAACATCGTGCCTGATTGGGTCCTGTTTATCCACTTGTCATTTGTCAGTTGGGCAGACCGCGCAACCAGTCTCCCGCTAGCTCTTCCAGCCAGCCGCCCTGACACCCCATGAGCCAAGATGCTAACGCGCCACGTCAACACGTAGTAAAGAGAAGACATCTTTCAAGGGGTTTTTTGTTTGTTTCAGAATGACTTATCCCCAAGTGCGGGTCAATGACCAATGCGCGAAGGTCGTGGATGAAGTTGGACCGTCTCTGCGCCGGCGCGCAGAGCAGGGGAAAACCGACTAGGTACTGGTGCAAGCCGAGGAGCCAAGGAGAGAGAATAACGTCATCAAATTCGAGCGGGGTTTCTGTACACTGTAAGACGACCGCCTATCGCAGGGACTTATCTCACAGCCAACAGATGCACTCAGTGGCTGGTCTCTTATCCTGACCTTGTGTACCCTAACGTTGAGAATGATTGGTAAGACAATCGCTGTGCCTGGGGCTCCCGACCACCCTTGCATGATCACGCGCTTGCATTCAAATCTCCGCAGATGCTTAGTTTCAAGCTTTCTCCTCAAGAACCGTCGCTGCTCCAGCTTGCGCCACCTTCCCTATCCATGGAATCAACTTGAGGATCTTCACTGGCAAGCTTCTGCCTACAGGCGGCATCATTGTTCTCCCGATGGCATGGCCAGTGTGGTGATAACGGGGCAGTCGACGATGAGCAGGGTGCATTCTCTGATCCCCCGGTATCCCAATCGGCTGCGGAGAGGAGTATGTCCGCAGATACCGACACTGTCACTAAGCATGTAGAAAGTGCTGTTCGATGGATGATTCAAAGGGCCTCCCCGTCATCCAAAATACTCAACTCGACTGTTTAGTGTCAGAAATTGAACTTTGGGCTGTCTTCTGCATAGGTACATCATTTGAATATAGTCATCAGAAAAACGATAAGACTAGAAGGTGTTACAGGCTGCAGTTCGTCGAGTGCACCATGGGCTGTGCCACAAACCGAGTAAGATAAACAACGCTGCAGGGTGGTTTTGCCGCTACTCGCTGGATGCCGCGACATCGCCCAATCACCAGCCGCATGGGAAGCACTGCTTCATTTAGTGATTGATACCGCAACGGGAGCAGCCGCGATGTTTACATGTTTCAATCAGTGACACAGTCTCTCTTCATATTATCCTGCCGGTAGAATATTCAAAGTGCCTCTACAGGTTGAGAAGAGGCATCATGTACTTTGGATGAACAATGGATCCCTCCTCGACAATCTATTACTCAAAATCCATAGCATTTTGTCGCTGATCGTTAAAGATCAATCCCTAGTGTAGTGAAATCAATGATGCTGTTGTTGTCCTCAGCATTCAGCAGTCAAGATGGTGCAGTGAAAAGCTTCTACCTCGATCCAAGTATCTGTCTACTGCGCCGAATAGCGGCCTGCTGGGTTTTCTCTGAGGGTTTCGAACAGATGTGCGCCTTTTGCATAGACTTGATTTGCGATAAGCGCAAGCCCAGTTGCATTGTTGTATTACAGTAAAGGGGGGTGGTTTAGTGTTAGTTGCCTACGAAGGCTGGACAGACTTTCTAATCTCAACGAACCTCAAAACTTACAAACCTGCCTCCAATTTGGTTGAGAACGTTGAAGTCGAACTCATAGCACATCGGTATATCAATGAGGAAATTGTATCTGTTTCTGCAGCCATAGTCAATGGAGCACTGTCGATTATACGATCTAATGCCTGCAGTTTTACTTCATCTCTAAGGCAGCGCACCGGAGCACGCAAGCCTTGTACCCGACAAAGAGTGCTCATTCTGGGGCATGATGTGCTACGAGATTACTACGGCATATGCTCCGATGAAAGCATCGCTTCGCTGTCTCGTCAATGGTGCCCTTTCCTGTGGCCTCAATGCACCGTGATGGTCAAGCCCTGTGCTCCGATGTATGTCGGCATCGGTTAGTCTCTGGGACGATACGATGACGTATTTAAGTTTTACAGAAAGTTCGAAAATAGGAACTACTGGTAGACGATCTCTTTGATGCTTTTGGAAGATACCCAATACGTCCTGTATTATCCAAACGGAGTGAGGGACAGAGACATCCTGCGCTGATCAAAACGTGAGTCACTTGGTCTTGAACGTCACAGTGCACTTCAGAATGGAA